CCTTTGGGTTTTCGGGCTTCCTGAAGGTATTAGGTTTTGGGGCTTAGGGTAAGGTTTAAGGTTTTTGGCGTTAGGGTTAAAATCACTGTCCAAAACCTTTTAAGGAACAAGATTAAGACCTTTTGGAGTTGGTTACACCAAAAAAAAAATGTAAAATGAAAAAAAAAATATTTGGGGTGTTCGGGCTTCCTGAAGGTAATACCCTTCAGGTTTAAGTATTAGGTAATGGGGCTAGGGTAAGGTTTAAGGTTTTTGGCGTGAGGGTTTAAATCACTGTCCAAAACCTTTGTAGGAAGTCTTTTCCAACCTTTCGGAGTTAGTTAGACAAAAAAAAAAAAGATAAATGAAAAAAAAATATTTGGGGTGTTCGGGCTTCCTGAAGGTAATATCCGGGTATTAGGTTATGGGGCTAGGTTAAGGTTTAAGGTTTTTTGCGTGAGGGTTAAAATCACTGTCCAAAACCTTTGTAGGAAGTCTTTTCCAACCTTTTGGAGTTAGTTAGAAAAAAAAAAAAGATAAATGAAAAAAAAATATTTGGGGTGTTCGGGCTTCCTGAAGGTAATACCCGGGTATTAGGTTATGGGGCTAGGGTAAGGTTGGATTAATATTTTTTCCAGATTTTTTTTTGTACATCTCTTATTTTACTTCTGCCCTGTTCAAAACTAGCAAATGTTTCATTGAAAGTAATTTTTTGTAACCCTTTAAGAGCCCATTTAAGACATAAAGTCACTAATATAGCAAAAATGTGAGCCTTTTAACTTTTTCTGTAGCATCAGATTTAATAGACAACTCCCTTTGGCGCCCCTCAGTGGCCATATCTACTTTGTCTGCTGTTAATAGACAACTCCCTTTGGCGCCACTCAGTGGCCAAAACGACTTTTAAGAATGTGGATTTTTGGGTCATCTTTGGCGCCCCCTAGAACGTAAACCGTGGGATGCAGCGTCATGATTTTTACAACTTTGAATGGCCATGGGGTGTAGATTGGCCTGAGCAAATTTGGTGTCAGTGGGACGAAAGCCTTAGGAGGAGTTAGTCACATTCCAATGTGTGCGAATCGGCAAAAAATGCGAAATAGCCCTTTAACCGTACATTTTACAGACACGTGCCCATTGACTTTTTCATAGATCTTATTGAGATACACGTGATTGTCAAATTTTGTGTCAATATGACAAAGCGTATAGGCGTGACACTCAACAATGTGTATTTTCACCTTAGGGGACAAGAAAAAATTGAATTTTTTCTCCTGCCATGGGGGGGCGCTCTTTTGGGGAGTAAAAATTCCTTCACAAATGTGTTGATGGCTGGACATTGCATCATCCTAGAAAATTCAAAGATCACAAAACAGCACAATCTCAAGTTCAAACACGACACAAACTCAGGTTCAACAAACACACAAACTCAAGTTTAACCAATACCCAATTCTCACGTTTAACAATTTCCACAACCTCAAGTTCAAACACGACACAAACTCAAGTTCAAACACGACACAAACTCAAGTTCAAACAACACCCAAATATCAAGTTTAACATCTGCCAAAACCTCAAGTTCAAAAACACCACAAACTCAAGTTCTTAATGACAAAAACTCAAGTTCAACAAACACACGAACTCAAGTTCAACCAATGCCCACTTCGCAAGTTTAACAATTTCCACAACCTCAAGTTAAAAAAAAACAAAAACTCAAGTTCAGACACACCACAAACTCAAGTTAGAAACAACACAGACTCAAGTTCAACCAACACCTAAGTCACAAGTTTAACAATTGCCACAAACTTCAGTTCAAAAAACACAAAAGCTCAAGATCAAAAACACCACAAACTCAAGTTCAAACACGATTCACAAACTCAAGTTCAACCAAATCCCAAATCTCAAGTTTAACAATTTCCACAACCTCAAGTTCAAAACCAACAGAAACTCAAGTTCAAACACGCCACAAACTCAAGTACAACAAACGCCACAAACTCAAGTTCAACAATTGCCACCAAGTAAAGTTCAGAGAAAAATACAGACTCAAGGTTAACAATTGCCACAAACTCAAGTTCATCAAACACCACAAGCTTAAGTTCAAAAAATGACAAACTTTCAAATTCAACAAATGACCTATATTCACATTAAACAATTGCCAAAAACTCAAGTTCAACAAACTCAAGTTCAAAAATTGCAACAAACTCAGGTTCAAAAAATACACAAATTCAAGTTCAAAAACACCACAAACTCAAGTTCAAAAATGCCGAAACTTAATTTCAACCAACACCCAAATCTCAAGTTTAACAATTGCCACAACCTCATGTTCAAAAACAACAGAAACTCAAATTCAAAAACACCAAAAACTCAAGTTAAAAAAACCCCACACAAATTCAAGATCACAAAACAGCACAATCTCAAGTTCAAACAAGACACAAACTCAGGTTCAACAAACACACAAACTCAAGATAAACCAATACCCAATTCTCACGTTTAACAATTTCCACAACCTCAAGTTCAAATACAACACAAACTCAGGTTCAAACTCGACACAAACTCAAGTGCAAAAACACCACAAACTCAAGTTCAACAATTGCCACCAACTAAAGTTCAGAGAAAATACAGACTCAAGTTCAACAATTGCCACAAACTCAAGTTCAACAAACACCACAATCTTAAGTTCAACAAATTCCAAAATTTCAAGTTCAACAAATGACCTAAACTCACACTTAACAATTGCCAAAAACTAAAGGTCAACAAACTCAAGTTAAAAAAGTGCCACAAAATGAAGTTCAAAAACACCACAAACTCAAATTCAAAAAACACACAAACTCAAGTTCAAAAACACCACAAACTCAATTTCAAACACGATACAAACTCAAGTTCAACAAACACCACAAACTCAAGTTCAACAAATGTCACAGTTTCAAGTTCAACCAACACCCGATTCTCAGGTTTAACAATTTCCACAACCTCAAATTCAAAAAACACACAAACTCAAGTTCAAAAACACCAGAACCTCAAGTTCAAAAAACATAAAAAACTCAAGTTCAAATATTCCACAAACTCAAGTTCAATGAACACCACAAACTCAAGTTCAACCAACACCCGATTCTCAAGTTTAACAATTGCCACAACCTCAAGTTAAAAAAAACACAAACTCAAGTTCAAACACTTCACAAACTCAAGTTCAAACACTTCACAAACTCAAGTTCAAACACTTCACAAACTCAAGTTCAACAAACGCCACAAGGTCAAGTTCAACAAACGCCACAAACTCAAGTTCAACAATTGCCACCAACTAAAGTTCACTAAAAACCAAAGACTCAAGTTCAACAATTGCCAAAAAATCAAGCGAAACAAACTCAAGTTCATAAGTTGTCACAAACTTCAAACACGACACAAACTCAAGTTCAAAAACACCACAAACTCAAGTTCAAAAAGACACAAACTCAAGTTCAACAAACAAAACTAACTATTTAGAGTAATTTTGAGGTGTTTGAGAGGTTTTTTGTAGACTTACCCTAGCGGTCCTATGTTGTTGTTGATGTGAGGCGTTTCTTTTCCAGTAGTCTAAAATCTGTTGGAGGGGGGAAAAGGTTCCAGCTGTCCAGCCGCGGCGGCAGCGGTGTGTCTGAAGTCCGGGGTCCTCGGCGGGGGAAAGAAGATAGGCGCTCCGCGGCAAGGTTTGCTGGGACTCGGTGCCGTCGGCGGGTCGAAGCTCGGTGGTGGGCGGCTTGGAGTGATGGAGGTGTCTTCTTTCAGTTGGCGGCGCGGCGTCTTCCTCGAGGCGGTGGTCGGTCTTCTAGGTCCAGTGGTCAGTGCTTTGTCTCAATAACAGGAACAGGAATTGCTCTTTAGTGCACAGCACTTAAATGTGCTTTTGACAGGAGAAGACATCCCCAGAGTTGGGCTCGAGTCATGGTTTGTGCTGTTCCTCTCAGACATGGTTGTGTTCTCTTCTCGATGTTTGTATTCCAGAATGGATGTCTCTTGGTTGTATTTTAAACTTTCAAGTTGTTTTAAGTTAATTTTAATGTAGTTTATTTGTTTTAAATTTAGTTTTGCTACATTAAATTTGTATGCAATCGTAAGGGATTGTGGGTATTTTAGTTCTGAGGGATGAGAGCCTAAGGAATCAATCTTCATGTTACAGCAAAGGATTGTGGGTAAAACCGTGAGTGAGTGAGGTACTTCCTTTCTGCCATGAGAGCCTTGGGAATCAATCTCCCTGTTGCAGCAAAGGATTGTGGGTAAAACCGTGAGTAAGGGAGGTACATTTTTCCTGGCATGAGAACCTCAGGAGTCAGTCCTTCCTAAGAAAAAAGAGGGGAGGGGGGGAAGACAAACAAAAGCACAGGAACCCTAAAATGAAATAAAATAAAATAAAATAAAATAATATAAAACAATGAAAAAATAAAAAAGAAGAACAAAAGTGGATTGCAAAAGGGAAAGGAGAAGAAAAAAGGAAAAAAAGAAGTGTCAAGAGCAAATAGCAAAAAACAGAAGTGAGCTTAAAAACAGAGAACAGTTCCCTAAAAGACAGACAGAAATGTAAATTTGATCAATGTCCTAAGGGAAAATCTGCACGTGTATGTGTTTTCTTTTTTACTAGCTTAGTCTGGTGTCACTGATGGTCAGTTATCAATAAGTATTTATTATTTAAATTTTTGATGAAGTTGTTTGTAGTGGGGTTAGCTGGCTAATTTTAGTGTGTTAAAAAAGATGTTAGAGGGGGAGGATTTAGGTGGCATGGCGGTTCCCCTTCAGGTCTCTCTTAATCCTCAATATAGGTGACCCAACAGGGGTTACCCCCCGGCCGGGGTAGGCCGAGGCTGAAGATCACCTATTTGTCCTCTGTGAAGGTGAAAATAAAGGGGCAGGGGAGGGAATAAGAAAGAGGGGGGGTGTTAGAGAGAGGGGGAGAGATGAGGGAGAGAGATGAGGGAGAGAGAGAGAGAGAGGGGGGGGGGGGTGAGAGAGAGAGAGAGAGAAGGGAAGAGGGAGAGGGGGGTTTAAGGGAGAGGTGGAGATGGTGGAAAATAAAGATTGGTGAGGGGGATTTGGTGGCGGATGAAACATCCCATAGCTCCCCAGCTCTCACCATCCATGTGAGGAGAGTGAGCAAGGGACATAGTCACCCGACCCGACTAGGTCTAGGCTCTGCTCTCCTCACGGTCCTCACAAGATACAAAGAGATATGTAAACGTGGAAGTGAGAGTTCTCTAGGCAGAGTTTTGGGTTTGGTTTGAGCTGAGTTGGTCAGTTGATTATTGATTACTATTTTAAGTTCTAAAAGTAAATAGAGTCAAAAAGTCACAGAGGATTGTGGTGGGAGCAGGTGGTCCATCTGGCACCATTCTGCTCATGCAGGGATTCGAGTGATAGAAAGAGAATAGATCTTGCCACCGTGACTCGCCATTGAGACTCTCCTCACCTGCTGGTTTTCATCCTCTGATAGGAGAGAGAGGTACAGATCAGGAGAGAGGGAGAAAAGGAGGGAGGCAGGGTGGGGTCAGGAGTTAATTTGTCTTGAAAAGTATTTATCTTTTCGTCATTGCTGTTAGGGTTTAGATGTTTTTTGTTTAGTTTTCTGAGGAATGTAGTGTTAGTATAGGTTCCAAGGTGGAGGATTCTTTGGAATTCACTCTCACCCTTGAAACTGGAAGATCTTAGATTCTATAAAGGGGGGGGGGGGGGGTGAGAGGTTGTGTGCACAGAAGGAGCATGGGCTCAGACTATTCTCGGAATGATATTGTGACAAGTCTGTCCGAAGGTAAGTGGCTGGTTAGGTGTGGGAAAGAGATAGAGTGATAGCCCCCGCTTTCGTCAGTTGACTTGGCGGTTTGAGGTAGGCTGATCAAGGGCTTGCACTGGCCGGCGCATGTCGACCTGTCACATGTTCCAGTCGAGTCTCCGAGCTCAATCTGTGTGTAAAAATTGTGTGTTGGTAGAAAGTTTAATGACTCAGCTCAGTTGGTATGCTATGCTGTCTATCTTTTAGACTATGTGTTTGTAGAGCAATATTATGTATATATTTTGTTACAGGGCTAGGAAAAGGTTAAAGGTTTTTGACGTTAGGGTTAAAATCACTGTCCAAAACCTTTGTAGGAACTCTTTTCCAACCTTTTGGAGGGAGCTAGACTAAAAAAAAAAGAAAAAAGAAAAAAAAAAATTGGGGGTGTTCGGGCTTCCTGAAGGTAATACCCGGGTATTAGGTTACGGGGCTAGGGTAAGGTTTAAGGCTTTTGGCGTATGGCTTAAAATCACTGTCCAAAACCTTTTTAGGAACATGTTTCAGACCTTTTGGAGTTAGTTAGACCAAAAAAAATGAAAAATGAAAAAAATATATTTGGGGTGTTCAGGCTTCCTGAAGGTAATACCCGGGTATTAGGTTAGGGGCTGAGGTAAGGTTTAAGGTGTTTGGTGTGAGGGTTAAAATCACTGTCCAAAACCTTTGTAGGAACTCTTTTCCAACCTTTTGGAGTTAGTTAGACCAAAAAAAAAAAACGAAAAATGAAAAAACAATATTTGGGGTTTTCGGGCTTCCTGAAGGTAATACCCGGGTATTAGGTTATGGGGCTAGGGTAAGGTTTAAGGTTTTTGGCGTGAGGGTTAAAATCACTGTCCAAAACCTTTGTAGGAACTCTTTTCCAACCTTTTGGAGTTAGTTAGACCACAAAAAATGAAAAATAAAAAAAAAATATTTGGGGTGTTCGGGCTTCCTGAAGGTAATACCCGGTATTAGGTTTTGGGGCTAGGGTAAGGTTTAAGGTTTTTGGCGTTAGGGTTAAAATCACTGTCCAAAACCTTTTTAGGAACATGTTTCAGACCTTTTGGAGATGGTTACACCAAAAAAAATGTAAAATGAAAAAAAAAATATTTGGGGTGTTTGGGCTTCCTGAAGGTAATACCCGGGTATTAGGTTATGGGGCTAGGGTAAGGTTTAAGGTTTTTGGCGTGAGGGTTAAAATCACTGTCCAAAACCTTTGTAGGAAGTCTTTTCCAACCTTTTGGAGTTAGTTAGACCAATAAAAAAATGAAAAATAAAAAATAAAAAATTTGGGGTGTTCGGGCTTCCTGAAGGTAATACCCGGGTATTAGGTTTTGGGGCTAGGATTAGGTTTAAGGTTTTTGGCGTTAGGGTTAAAATCACTGTCCAATATTTTTTAAGGAACATGTTTCAGACCTTTTGGAGTTAGTTAGACCAAAAAAAAAGAAAAAAGAAAAAAAAATATTTGGGGTTTTCGGGCTTCCTGAAGGTATTAGGTTTTGGGGCTAGGGTAAGGTTTAAGGTTTTTGGCGTTAGGGTTAAAATCACTGTCCAATATTTTTAAGGAACATGTTTCAGACCTTTTGGAGCTAGTTTGACCGAAAAAAAAAAAAAAGAAAAATTTATATATTTGGGGTGTTCGGGCTTCCTGAAGGTATTAGGTTTTGGGGCTAGGGTAAGGTTTAAGGTTTTTGGCGTTAGGGTTAAAATCACTGTCCAAAACCTTTTAAGGAACAAGATTCAGACCTTTTGGAGTTGGTTACACCAAAAAAAAATGTAAAATGAAAAAAAAAATATTTGGGGTGTTCGGGCTTCCTGAAGGTAATACCTTTCAGGTTTAAGTATTAGGTTATGGGGCTAGGATTAGGTTTAATGTTTTTGGCGTTAGGGTTAAAATCACTGTCCAATATTTTTAAGGAACATGTTTCAGACCTTTTGGAGCTAGTTTGACCGAAAAAAAAAAAGAAAATTTTTTTTTTATATATTTGGGGTGTTCGGGCTTCCTGAAGGTAATACCAGGGTATTAGGTTATGGGGCTAGGGTAATGTTTAAGGTTTTTGGCGTGAGGGTAAAAATCACTGTCCAAAACCTTTGTAGGAAGTCTTTTCCAACCTTTCGGAGTTAGTTAGAAAAAAAAAAAAAGATAAATGAAAAAAAAAAAATTGGGGTTTTCTGGCTTCCTGAAGGTAATACCCGGGAATTAGGTTATGGGGCTAGGGTAAGGTTTAAGGTTTTTGGCGTAAGGGTTAAAATCACTGTCCAAAACCTTTTTAGGAACATGTTTCAGGCCTTTTGGAGTTGGTTACACCAAAAAAAATGTAAAATGAAAAAAAATCTTTTTTGGGTGTTCGGGCTTCCTGAAGGTAATACTTTGTATTACCTTTGTAGGAAGTCTTTTCCAACCTTTTGGAGTTAGTTAGACAAAAAAAAAAAGATAAAAGAAAAAAAAATATTTGGGGTGTTCGGGCTTCCTGAAGGTAATACCCGGGTATTAGGTTATGGGGCTAGGGTAAGGTTTAAGGTTTTTGGCATAAGGGTTAAAGTAACTGTCCAATATTTTTTAAGGAACATGTTTCAGACCTTTTCGAGCTAGTTTGACCAAAAAAAAAAAAGAAAAAGAAAAAATACATATTTGGGGTGTTCGGGCTTCCTGAAGGTAATACCTGGGTATTAGGTTATGGGGCTAGGTTAAGGTTTAAGGTTTTTGGCGTGAGGGTTAAAATCACTGTCCAAAACCTTTGTAGGAACTCTTTTCCAACCTTTTGGAGTTAGTTAGACAAAAAAAAAAGATAAATGAAAAAAAAATATTTGGGGTGTTCGGGCTTCCTGAAGGTAATACTAGGTTTCTGGGCTAGGGTAATGTTTAAGGTTTTTGGCGTTAGGGTTAAAATCAATGTCCAAAACCTTTGTAGGAACTCTTTTCCAACCTTTGAGAGCAAGTTAGACCAAAACAAAAAGAAAAATAAAAAATATATATTTGGGGTGTTCGGGCATCCTGAAGGTAATACCCGGGTATTAGGTTATGGGGCTAGGGTAAGGTTTAAGGTTTTTCGGCGTGAGGGTAAAAATCACTGTCCAAAACCTTTGTAGGAACTCTTTTCCAACCTTTGGGAATTAGTTAGACAAAAAAAAAAGATAAATGAAAAAAAAATATTTGGGGTGTTCGGGCTTCCTGAAGGTAATACCCGGGTATTAGGTTTTGGGGCTAGAGTTAGGTTTAAGGTTTTTGGCGTTAGGGTTAAAGTAACTGTCCAATATTTTTTAAGGAACATGTTTCAGACCTTTGGGAGTTAGTTAGACAAAAAAAAAAGAAAAAGAAAAAAAAATATTTGGGGTGTTCGGGTTTCCTGAAGGTAATACCCGGGTATTAGGTTAGGGGCTAAGGTAAGGTTTAAGGTTTTTGGCGTGAGGGTTAAAATCACTGTCCAAAACCTTTGTAGGAACTCTTTAACATCCTTTTGGAGTTAGTTAGACCAAAAAAAAAACGAAAAATGAAAAAACAATATTTGGGGTTTTCGGGCTTCCTGAAGGTAATACCCGGGTATTAGGTTATGGGGCTAGGGTAAGGTTTAAGGTTATTGGCGCGAGGGTTAAAATCACTGTCCAAAACCTTTGTAGGAACTCTTTTCCAACCTTTTGGAGTTAGTTAGACCACAAAAAATGAAAAATAAAAAAAAAAATATTTAGGGTGTTCAGGCTTCCTGAAGGTAATACCCAGGGTATTAGGTTTTGGGGCTAGGGTAACTTTTAAGGTTTTTGGCGATAGGGTTAAAATCACTGTCCAAAACCTTTGTAGGAACTCTTTTCCAACCTTTTGGAGTTAGTTAGACCACAAAAAATGAAAAAAAAAAAAAAAAAAAATTTGGGGTGTTCAGGCTTCCTGAAGGTAATACCCGGGTATTAGGTTATGGGGCTAGGGTAAGGTTTAAGGTTTTTGGCGTAAGGGTTAAAATCACTGTCCAAAACCTTTGTAGGAACTCTTTTCCAACCTTTTGGAGTTAGTTTGACAAAAAAAAAAAGATAAATGAAAAAAAATATTTGGGGTGTTCGGGCTTCCTGAAGGTAATACCCGGGTATTAGGTTTTGGGGCTAGAGTTAGGTTGAAGGTTTTTGGCGTTAGGGTTAAAGTAACTGTCCAATATTTTTTAAGGAACATGTTTCAGACCTTTTGGAGATGGTTACACCAAAAAAAACGAAAAATGAAAAAACAATATTTGGGGTGTTCGGGCTTCCTGAAGGTAATACCCGGGTATTAGGTTATGGGGCTAGGGTAAGGTTTAAGGTTTTTGGCGTGAGGGTTAAAATCACTGTCCAAAACCTTTGTAGGAAGTCTTTTCCAACCTTTTGGAGTTAGTTAGACCAAAAAAAAAAGATAAATGAAAAAAAAAATATTTGGGGTGTTCGGGCTTCCTGAAGGTAATACCCGGGTATTAGGTTATGGGGCTAGGGTAACTTTTAAGGTTTTTGGCGATAGGGTTAAAATCACTGTCCAAAACCTTTGTAGGAACTCTTTTCCAACCTTTTGGAGTTAGTTAGACAAAAAAAAAAGATAAATGAAAAAAAAATATTTGGGGTGTTCGGGCTTCCTGAAGGTAATACCCGGGTATTAGGTTATGGGGCTAGGGTAAGGTTTAAGGTTTTTGGCGTAAGGGTTAAAATCACTGTCCAAAACCTTTTTAGGAACATGTTTCAGACCTTTTGGAGATGGTTACACCAAAAAAAATGTAAAATGAAAAAAAAAAATATTTGGGGTGTTCGGGCTTCCTGAAGGTAATACCCGGGTATTAGGTTATGGGGCTAGGGTAAGGTTTAAGGTTTTTGGCGATAGGGTTAAAATCACTGTCCAAAACCTTTGTAGGAACTCTTTTCCAACCTTTTGGAGTTAGTTAGACAAAAAAAAAAAGATAAATGAAAAAAAAAATATTTGGGGTGTTCGGGCTTCCTGAAGGTAATACCCGGGTATTAGGTTATGGGGCTAGGGAAAGGTTTAAGGTTTTGGGCGTAAGGGTTAAAATCACTGTCCAAAACCTTTTTAGGAACATGTTTCAGACATTTTGGAGTTGGTTACACCAAAAAAAATGTAAAATGAAAAAAAATTTTTTTGGGTGTTCGGGCTTCCTGAAGGTTATACTAGGTTTCTGGGCTAGGGTAATGTTTAAGGTTTTTGGAGTTAGGGTTAAAATCAATGTCCAAAACCTTTGTAGGAACTCTTTTCCAACCTTTTGGAGTTAGTTAGACCACAAAAAATGAAAAATAAAAAAATATATTTGGGGTGTTCGGGCTTCCTGAAGGTAATACCCGGGTATTAGGTTTTGGGGCTAGGGTAACTTTTAAGGTTTTTGGCGTGAGGGTTAAAATCACTGTCCAAAACCTTTGTAGGAACTCTTTAACATCCTTTTGGAGTTAGTTAGACCAAAAAAAAAACGAAAAATGAAAAAACAATATTTGGGGTTTTCGGGCTTCCTGAAGGTAATACCCGGGTATTAGGTTATGGGGCTAGGGTAAGGTTTAAGGTTATTGGCGCGAGGGTTAAAATCACTGTCCAAAACCTTTGTAGGAACTCTTTTCCAACCTTTTGGAGTTAGTTAGACCACAAAAAATGAAAAATAAAAAAAAAAATATTTGGGGTGTTCGGGCTTCCTGAAGGTAATACCCGGGTATTAGGTTTGGGGCTAGGGTAAGGTTTAAGGTTTTTGGCGTAGGGTTAAAATCACTGTCCAAAACCTTTGTAGGAACTCTTTTCCAACCTTTTGGAGTTAGTTAGACCACAAAAAATGAAAAATAAAAAAAAAATATTTGGGGTGTTCGGGCTTCCTGAAGGTAATACCCGGGTATTAGGTTTTGGGGCTAGGGTAACTTTTAAGGTTTTTGGCGATAGGGTTAAAATCACTGTCCAAAACCTTTGTAGGAACTCTTTTCCAACCTTTTGGAGTTAGTTAGACCACAAAAAATGAAAAAAAAAAAAAATTTGGGGTGTTCAGGCTTCCTGAAGGTAATACCCGGGTATTAGGTTATGGGGCTAGGGTAAGGTTTAAGGTTTTTGGCGTAAGGGTTAAAATCACTGTCCAAAACCTTTGTAGGAACTCTTTTCCAACCTTTTGGAGTTAGTTAGACCAAAAAAAAAAAAAGATAAATTAAAAAAAAATATTTGGGGTGTTCGGGCTTCCTGAAGGTAATACCCGGGTATTAGGTTATGGGGCTAGGGTAAGGTTTAAGGTTTTTGGCGTAAGGGTTAAAATCACTGTCCAAAACCTTTTTAGGAACATGTTTCAGACCTTTTGGAGATGGTTACACCAAAAAAAAATGTAAAATGAAAAAAAATATATTTGGGGTGTTCGGGCTTCCTGAAGGTAATACCCGGGTATTAGGTTATGGGGCTAGGGTAAGGTTTAAGGTTTTTGGCGATAGGGTTAAAATCACTGTCCAAAACCTTTGTAGGAACTCTTTTCCAACCTTTTGGAGTTAGTTAGACAAAAAAAAAAGATAAATGAAAAAAAAATATTTGGGGTGTTCGGGCTTCCTGAAGGTAATACCCGGGTATTAGGTTTTGGGGCTAGAGTTAGGTTTAAGGTTTTTGGCGTTAGGGTTAAAATCACTGTCCAATACCTTTTTAAGGAACATGTTTCAGACCTTTTGGAGTTAGTTAGACAAAAAAAAAGAAAAAAAAAAAAATATTTGGGGTGTTCGGGCTTCCTGAAGGTAATACCCGGGTATTAGGTTAGGGGCTAAGGTAAGGTTTAAGGTTTTTGGCGTGAGGGTTAAAATCACTGTCCAAAACCTTTGTGGGAACTCTTTTCCAACCTTTTGGAGTTAGTTAGACCACAAAAAATGAAAAATAAAAAAAAAAAATATTTGGGGTGTTCGGGCTTCCTGAAGGTAATACCCGGGTATTAGGTTATGGGGCTAGGGTAAGGTTTAAGGTTTTTGGCGATAGGGTTAAAATCACTGTCCAAAACCTTTGTAGGAACTCTTTTCCAACCTTTTGGAGTTAGTTAGACAAAAAAAAAAAAAGATAAATTAAAAAAAAATATTTGGGGTGTTCGGGCTTCCTGAAGGTAATACCCGGGTATTAGGTTATGGGGCTAGGGTAAGGTTTAAGGTTTTTGGCGTAAGGGTTAAAGTAACTGTCCAATATTTTTTAAGGAACATGTTTCAGACCTTTGGGAGTGAGTTAGACAAAAAAAAAAGAAAAAGAAAAAAAAATATTTGGGGTGTTCGGGTTTCCTGAAGGTAATACCCGGGTATTAGGTTAGGGGCTAAGGTAAGGTTTAAGGTTTTTGGCGTGAGGGTTAAAATCACTGTCCAAAACCTTTGTAGGAACTCTTTTCCAACCTTTTGGAGTTAGTTAGACCACAAAAAATGAAAAATAAAAAAAATATATATTTGGGGTGTTCGGGCTTCCTGAAGGTAATACCCGGGTATTAGGTTTTGGGGCTAGGGTAACTTTTAAGGTTTTTGGCGATAGGGTTAAAATCACTGTCCAAAACCTTTGTAGGAAGTCTTTTCCTACCTTTTGGAGTTAGTTAGACAAAAAAAAAAAATAAATGAAAAAAAAATATTTGGGGTGTTCGGGCTTCCTGAAGGTAATACCCGGGTATTAGGTTATGGGGCTAGGTTAAGGTTTAAGGTTTTTGGCGTGAGGGTTAAAATCACTTTCCAAAACCTTTGTAGGAAGTCTTTTCCAACCTTTTGGAGTTAGTTAGACAAAAAAAAAAGATAAATGAAAAAAAAATATTTGGGGTGTTCGGGCTTCCTGAAGGTAATACCCGGGTATTAGGTTTTGGGGCTAGAGTTAGGTTTAAGGTTTTTGGCGTTAGGGTTAAAGTAACTGTCCAATATTTTTTAAGGAACATGTTTCAGACCTTTGGGAGTTAGTTAGACAAAAAAAAAAAGAAAAAGAAAAAAAAATATTTGGGGTGTTCGGGTTTCCTGAAGGTAATACCCGGGTATTAGGTTAGGGGCTAAGGTAAGGTTTAAGGTTTTTGGCGTGAGGGTTAAAATCACTGTCCAAAACCTTTGTAGGAACTCTTTTCCAACCTTTTGGAGTTAGTTAGACCACAAAAAATGAATAATAAAAAAAATATATATTTGGGGTGTTCGGGCTTCCTGAAGGTAATACCCGGGTATTAGGTTTTGGGGCTAGGGTAACTTTTAAGGTTTTTGGCGATAGGGTTAAAATCACTGTCCAAAACCTTTGTAGGAACTCTTTTCCAACCTTTTGGAGTTAGTTAGACCACAAAAAATGAAAAAAAAAAAAATATATATTTGGGGTGTTCAGGCTTCCTGAAGGTAATACCCGGGTATTAGGTTTTGGGGCTAGGGTAACTTTTAAGGTTTTTGGCGATAGGGTTAAAATCACTGTCCAAAACCTTTGTAGGAACTCTTTTCCAACCTTTTGGAGTTAGTTAGACAAAAAAAAAAAAAAGATAAATTAAAAAAAAATATTTGGGGTGTTCGGGCTTTCTGAATGTAATACCCGGGTATTAGGTTATGGGGCTAGGGTAAGGTTTAAGGTTTTTGGCGTAAGGGTTAAAATCACTGTCCAAAACCTTTTTAGGAACATGTTTCAGACCTTTTGGAGATGGTTACACCAAAAAAAAATGTAAAATGAAAAAAAAAATATTTGGGGTGTTCGGGCTTCCTGAAGGTAATACCCGGGTATTAGGTTATGGGGCTAGGGTAAGGTTTAAGGTTTTTGGCGTAAGGGTTAAAGTAACTGTCCAATATTTTTTAAGGAACATGTTTCAGACCTTTTGGAGCTAGTTTGACCAAAAAAAAAAAGAAAAAGAAAAAATACATATTTGGGGTGTTCGGGCTTCCTGAAGGTAATACCTGGGTATTAGGTTATGGGGCTAGGTTAAGGTTTAAGGTTTTTGGCGTGAGGGTTAAAATCACTGTCCAAAACCTTTGTAGGAACTCTTTTCCAACCTTTTGGAGTTAGTTAGACAAAAAAAAAAAGATAAATGAAAAAAAAATATTTGGGGTGTTCGGGCTTCCTGAAGGTAAAACCCGGGTATTAGGTTATGGGGCTAGGGAAAGGTTTAAGGTTTTTGGCGTAAGGGTTAAAATCACTGTCCAAAACCTTTTTAGGAACATGTTTCAGACCTTTTGGAGTTGGTTACACCAAAAAAAATGTAAAATGAAAAAAAAATTTTTTTGGGTGTTCGGGCTTCCTGAAGGTAATACTAGGTTTCTGGGCTAGGGTAATGTTTAAGGTTTTTGGAGTTAGGGTTAAAATCAATGTCCAAAACCTTTGTAGGAACTCTTTTCCAACCTTTGAGAGCAAGTTAGACCAAAAAAAAAAGAAAAATAAAAAATATATATTTGGGGTGTTCGGGCTTCCTGAAGGTAATACCCGGGTATTAGGTTAGGGGCTAAGGTAAGGTTTAAGGTTTTTGGCGTGAGGGTTAAAATCACTGTCCAAAACCTTTGTAGGAACTCTTTTCCAACCTTTTGGAGTTAGTTAGACCAAAAAAAAAAAGAAAAATGAAAAAACAATATTTGGGGTGTTCGGGCTTCCTGAAGGTAATACCCGGGTATTAGGTTATGGGGCTAGGGTAAGGTTTAAGGTTTTTGGCGTGAGGGTTAAAATCACTGTCCAAAACCTTTGTAGGAACTCTTTTCCAACCTTTTGGAGTTAGTTAGACCACAAAAAATGAAAAATAAAAAAAAAATATTTGGGGTGTTCGGGCTTCCTGAAGGTAATACCCGGGTATTAGGTTTTGGGGCTAGGGTAACTTTTAAGGTTTTTGGCGATAGGGTTAAAATCACTGTCCAAAACCTTTGTAGGAACTCTTTTCCAACCTTTTGGAGTTAGTTAGACCACAAAAAATGAAAAATAAAAAAAAATTATTTGGGGTGTTCGGGCTTCCTGAAGGTAATACCCGGGTATTAGGTTTTGGGGCTAGGGTAAGGTTTAAGGTTTTTGGCGTGAGGGTTAAAATCACTGTCCAAAACCTTTGTAGGAACTCTTTTCCAACCTTTTGGAGTTAGTTAGACCACAAAAAATGAAAAAAAAAAAATATATATTTGGGGTGTTCAGGCTTCCTGAAGGTAATACCCAGGTATTAGGTTTTGGGGCTAGGGTAACTTTTAAGGTTTTTGGCGATAGGGTTAAAATCACTGTCCAAAACCTTTGTAGGAACTCTTTTCCAACCTTTTGGAGTTAGTTAGACAAAAAAAAAAAGATAAATTAAAAAAAAATATTTGGGGTGTTCGGGCTTCCTGAAGGTAATACCCGGGTATTAGGTTATGGGGCTAGGGTAAGGTTTAAGGTTTTTGGCGTAAGGGTTAAAATCACTGTCCAAAACCTTTTTAGGAACATGTTTCCGACCTTTTGGAGATGGTTACACCAAAAAAAAATGTAAAATGAAAAAAAAAATATTTGGGGTGTTCGGGCTTCCTGAAGGTAATACCCGGGTATTAGGTTATGGGGCTAGGGTAAGGTTTAAGGTTTTTGGTGATAGGGTTAAAATCACTGTCCAAAACCTTTGTAGGAACTCTTTTCCAACCTTTGGGAGTTAGTTAGACAAAAAAAAAAGATAAATGAAAAAAAAAATATTTGGGGTGTTCGGGCTTCCTGAAGGTAATACCCGGGTATTAGGTTATGGGGCTAGGGTAAGGTTTAAGGTTTTTGGCGTAAGGGTTAAAGTAACTGTCCAATATTTTTTAAGGAACATGTTTCAGACCTTTTGGAGTTGGTTACACCAAAAAAAATGTAAAATGAAAAAAAAATTTTTTTGGGTGTTCGGGCTTCCTGAAGGTAATACCCGGGTATTAGGTTATGGGGCTAGGGTAAGGTTTAAGGTTTTTGGCGTTAGGGTTAAAATCACTGTCCAAAACCTTTGTAGGAACTCTTTTCCAACCTTTTGGAGTTAGTTAGACCAAAAAAAATGAAAAATAAAAAAAAATATTTGGGGTGTTCGGGCTTCCTGAAGGTAATACCCGGGTATTAGGTTATGGGGCTAGGTTAAGGTTTAAGGTTTTTGGCGTGAGGGTTAAAATCACTGTCCAAAACCTTTGTAGGAACTCTTTTCCAACCTTTTGGAGTTAGTTAGACAAAAAAAAATGAAAAAAAAAAAAAAAAATTTGGGGTGTTCAGGCTTCCTGAAGGTAATACCCGGGTATTAGGTTTTGGGGCTAGGGTAACTTTTAGTGTTTTTGGTGATATGGTTAAAATCACTGTCCAAAACCTTTGTAGGAACTCTTTTCCAACCTTTTGGAGTTAGTTAGACAAAAAAAAAAGATAAATTAAAAAAAAATATTTGGGGTGTTCGGGCTTCCTGAAGGTAATACCCGGGTATTAGGTTATGGGGCTAGGGTAAGGTTTAAGGTTTTTGGCGTAAGGGTTAAAATCACTGTCCAAAACCTTTTTAGGAACATGTTTCAGACCTTTTGGAGATGGTTACACCAAAAAAAATGTAAAATGAAAAAAAATATATTTGGGGTGTTCGGGCTTCCTGAAGGTAATACCCGGGTATTAGGTTATGGGGCTAGGGTAAGGTTTAAGGTTTTTGGTGATAGGGTTAAAATCACTGTCCAAAACCTTTGTAGGAACTCTTTTCCAACCTTTTGGAGTTAGTTAGACAAAAAAAAAAAGATAAATGAAAAAAAAAATATTTGGGGTGTTCGGGCTTCCTGAAGGTAATACCCGGGTATTAGGTTATGGGGCTAGGGAAAGGTTTAAGGTTTTGGGCGTAAGGGTTAAAATCAGTGTACAAAACCTTTTTAGGAACATGTTTCAGACCTTTTGGAGTTGGTTACACCAAAAAAAATGTAAAATGAAAAAAAAATTTTGGGGTGTTCGGGCTTCCTGAAGGTTATACCAGGTTTCTGGGCTAGGGTAATGTTTAAGGTTTTTGGAGTTAGGGTTAAAATCAATGTCCAAAACCTTTGTAGGAACTCTTTTCCAACCTTTGAGAGCAAGTTAGACCAAAACAAAAAGAAAAATAAAAAATATATATTTGGGGTGTTCGGGCATCCTGAAGGTAATACCCGGGTATTAGGTTATGGGGCTAGGGTAAGGTTTAAGGTTTTTGGCGTGAGGGTTAAAATCACTGTCCAAAACCTTTGTAGGAACTCTTTTCCAACCTTTTGGAGTTAGTTAGACCACAAAAAATGAAAAATAAAAAAAAAAAAAATTTGGGGTGTTCGGGCTTCCTGAAGGTAATACCCGGGTATTAGGTTTTGGGGCTAGGGTAACTTTTAAGGTTTTTGGCGATAGGGTTAAAATCACTGTCCAAAACCTTTGTAGGAACTCTTTTCCAACCTTTTGGAGTTAGTTAGACCACAAAAAATGAAAAATAAAAAAAAATATTTGGGGTGTTCAGGCTTCCTGAAGGTAATACCCGGGTATTAGGTTTTGGGGCTAGGGTAACTTTTAAGGTTTTTGGCGATAGGGTTAAAATCACTGTCCAAAACCTTTGTAGGAACTCTTTTCCAACCTTTTGGAGTTAGTTAGACAAAAAAAAAAAAGATAAATTAAAAAAAAATATTTGGGGTGTTCGGGCTTCCTGAAGGTAATACCCGGGTATTAGGTTTAGGGGCTAAGGTAAGGTTTAAGGTTTTTGGCGTGAGGGTTAAAATCACTGTCCAAAACCTTTGTAGGAACTCTTTTCCAACCTTTTGGAGTTAGTTAGACCAAAAAATGAATAATAAAAAAAATATATATTTGGGGTGTTCGGGCTTCCTGAAGGTAATACCCGGGTATTAGGTTTTGGGGCTAGGGTAAGGTTTAAGGTTTTTGGCGTTAGGGTTAAAGTAACTGTCCAATATTTTTTAAGGAACATGTTTCAGACCTTTTGGGAGTTAGATAGACAAAAAAAAAAAAGAAAAAGAAAAAAAAATATTTGGGGTGTTCGGGTTTCCTGAAGGTAATACCCGGGTATTAGGTTATGGGGCTAGGTAAGGTTTAAGGTTTTTGGCGTGAGGGTTAAAATCACTGTCCAAAACCTTTGTAGGAACTCTTTTCCAACCTTTTGGAGTTAGTTAGACCAAAAAAAAAATGAAAAATGAAAAAACAATATTTGGGGTGTTCAAGCTTCCTGAAGGTAATACCCGGGTATTAGGTTATGGGGCTAGGGAAAGGTTTAAGGTTTTTGGCGTAAGGGTTAAAATCACTGTCCAAAACCTTTGTGGGAACTCTTTTCCAACCTTTTGGAGTTAGTTAGACCACAAAAAATGAAAATAAAAAAAAAAATATTTGGGGTGTTCAGGCTTCCTGAAGGTAATACCCGGGTATTAGGTTTTGGGGCTAGGGTAAGGTTTAAGGTTTTTGGCGATAGGGTTAAAATCACTGTCCAAAACCTTTGTAGGAACTCTTTTCCAACCTTTTGGAGTTAGTTAGACAAAAAAAAAAAAAGATAAATTAAAAAAAAATATTTGGGGTGTTCGGGCTTCCTGAAGGTAATACCCGGGTATTAGGTTATGGGGCTAGGGTAAGGTTTAAGGTTTTTGGCGTAAGGGTTAAAATCACTGTCCAAAACCTTTTTTAAGGAACATGTTTCCAGACCTTTGGGAGTTAGTTAGACAAAAAAAAAAGAAAAAGAAAAAAAAATATTTGGGGTGTTCGGGTTTCCTGAAGGTAATACCCGGGTATTAGGTTAGGGGCTAAGGTAAGGTTTAAGGTTTTTGGCGTGAGGGTTAAAATCACTGTCCAAAACCTTTGTAGGAACTCTTTTCCTACCTTTTGGAGTTAGTTAGACAAAAAAAATAAATAAATGAAAAAAAAATATTTGGGGTGTTCGGGCTTCCTGAAGGTAATACCCGGGTATTAGGTTATGGGGCTAGGTTAAGGTTTAAGGTTTTTGGCGTGAGGGTTAAAATCACTTTCCAAAACCTTTGTAGGAAGTCTTTTCCAACCTTTTGGAGTTAGTTAGACAAAAAAAAAAAAGATAAATGAAAAAAAAATATTTGGGGTGTTCGGGCTTCCTGAAGGTAATACCCGGGTATTACGTTTTGGGGCTAGGGTAACTTTTAAGGTTTTTGGCGATAGGGTTAAAATCACTGTCCAAAACCTTTGTAGGAACTCTTTTCCAACCTTTTGGAGTTAGTTAGACAAAAAAAAAAAGATAAATTAAAAAAAAATATTTGGGGTGTTCGGGCTTCCTGAAGGTAATACCCGGGTATTAGGTTATGGGGCTAGGGTAAGGTTTAAGGTTTTTGGCGTAAGGGTTAAAATCACTGTCCAAAACCTTTTTAGGAACATGTTTCAGACCTTTTGGAGATGGTTACACCAAAAAAAATGTAAAATGAAAAAAAAAAATATTTGGGGTGTTCGGGCTTCCTGAAGGTAATACCCGGGTATTAGGTTATGGGGCTAGGGTAAGGTTTAAGGTTTTTGGCGATAGGGTTAAAATCACTGTCCAAAACCTTTGTAGGAACTCTTTTCCAACCTTTTGGAATTAGTTAGACAAAAAAAAAGATAAATGAAAAAAAAATATTTGGGGTGTTCGGGCTTCCTGAAGGTAATACCCGGGTATTAGGTTATGGGGCTAGGGTTAGGTTTAAGGTTTTTGGCGTTAGGGTTAAAGTAACTGTCCAATATTTTTTAAGGAACATGTTTCAGACCTTTGGGAGTTAGTTAGACAAAAAAAAAAGAAAAAGAAAAAAAAATTATTTGGGGTGTTCGGGTTTCCTGAAGGTAATACCCGGGTATTAGGTTTTGGGGCTAGGGTAACTTTTAAGGTTTTTGGCGATAGGGTTAAAATCACTGTCCAAAACCTTTGTAGGAACTCTTTTCCAACCTTTTGGAGTGAGTTAGACCACAAAAAATGAAAAATAAAAAAAAAATATTTGGGGTGTTCAGGCTTCCTGAAGGTAATACCCGGGTATTAGGTTTTGGGGCTAGGGTAACTTTTAAGGTTTTTGGCGATATGGTTAAAATCACTGTCCAAAACCTTTGTAGGAACTCTTTTCCAACCTTTTGGAGTTAGTTAGACCACAAAAAATGAAAAAAAAAAATATATATTTGGGGTGTTCAGGCTTCCTGAAGGTAATACCCAGGTATTAGGTTTTGGGGCTAGGGTAACTTTTAAGGTTTTTGGCGATAGGGTTAAAATCACTGTCCAAAACCTTTGTAGGAACTCTTTTCCAACCTTTTGGAGTTAGTTAGACAAAAAAAAAAAAGATAAATTAAAAAAAAATATTTGGGGTGTTCGGGCTTCCTGAAGGTAATACCCGGGTATTAGGTTATGGGGCTAGGGTAAGGTTTAAGGTTTTTGGCGTAAGGGTTAAAATCACTGTCCAAAACCTTTTTAGGAACATGTTTCAGACCTTTTGGAGATGGTTACACCAAAAAAAAATGTAAAATGAAAAAAAAAATATTTGGGGTGTTCGGGCTTCCTGAAGGTAATACCCGGGTATTAGGTTATGGGGCTAGGGTAAGGTTTAAGGTTTTTGGTGATAGGGTTAAAATCACTGTCCAAAACCTTTGTAGGAACTCTTTTCCAACCTTTTGGAGTTAGTTAGACAAAAAAAAAAGATAAATGAAAAAAAAAATATTTGGGGTGTTCGGGCTTCCTGAAGGTAATACCCGGGTATTAGGTTATGGGGCTAGGGTAAGGTTTAAGGTTTTTGGCGTAAGGGTTAAAGTAACTGTCCAATATTTTTTAAGGAACATGTTTCAGACCTTTTGGAGTTGGTTACACCAAAAAAAATGTAAAATGAAAAAAAAAATTTTTTGGGGTGTTCGGGCTTCCTGAAGGTAATACCCGGGTATTAGGTTTTGGGGCTAGAGTTAGGTTTAAGGTTTTTGGCGTTAGGGTTAAAGTAACTGTCCAAAACCTTTGTAGGAACTCTTTTCCAACCTTTTGGAGTTAGTTAGACCACAAAAAATGAAAAATAAAAAAAAAATATTTGGGGTGTTCGGGCTTCCTGAAGGTAATACCCGGGTATTAGGTTATGGGCTAGGGTAAGGTTTAAGGTTTTTGGCGTGAGGGTTAAAATCACTGTCCAAAACCTTTGTAGGAAGTCTTTTCCAACCTTTTGGAGTTAGTTAGACAAAAAAAAAAAAAAGAAAAAAAAATATTTGGGGTGTTCAGGCTTCCTGAAGGTAATACCCGGGTATTAGGTTTTGGGGCTAGGGTAAGGTTTAAGGTTTTTGGCGATATGGTTAAAATCACTGTCCAAAACCTTTGTAGGAACTCTTTTCCAACCTTTTGGAGTTAGTTAGACAAAAAAAAAGATAAATTAAAAAAAAATATTTGGGGTGTTCGGGCTTCCTGAAGGTAATACCCGGGTATTAGGTTATGGGGCTAGGGTAAGGTTTAAGGTTTTTGGAGTAAGGGTTAAAATCACTGTCCAAAACCTTTTTAGGAACATGTTTCCAGACCTTTTGGAGATGGTTACACCAAAAAAAAAAATTGTAAAATGAAAAAAAATATATTTGGGGTGTTCGGGCTTCCTGAAGGTAATACCCGGGTATTAGGTTATGGGGCTAGGGTAAGGTTTAAGGTTTTTGGTGATAGGGTTAAAATCACTGTCCAAAACCTTTGTAGGAACTCTTTTCCAACCTTTTGGAGTTAGTTAGACAAAAAAAAAAGATAAATGAAAAAAAAAATATTTGGGGTGTTCGGGCTTCCTGAAGGTAATACCCGGGTATTAGGTTATGGGGCTAGGGAAAGGTTTAAGGTTTTTGGCGTAAGGGTTAAAATCACTGTCCAAAACCTTTTTAGGAACATGTTTCAGACCTTTTGGAGTTGGTTACACCAAAAAAAATGTAAAATGAAAAAAAAATTTTGGGGTGTTCGGGCTTCCTGAAGGTTATACTAGGTTTCTGGGCTAGGGTAATGTTTAAGGTTTTTGGAGTTAGGGTTAAAATCAATGTCCAAAACCTTTGTAGGAACTCTTTTCCAACCTTTGAGAGCAAGTTAGACCAAAACAAAAAGAAAAATAAAAAATATATATTTGGGGTGTTCGGGCATCCTGAAGGTAATACCCGGGTATTAGGTTATGGGGCTAGGGTAAGGTTTAAGGTTTAAGGTTTTTCGGCGTGAGGGTTAAAATCACTGTCCAAAACCTTTGTAGGAACTCTTTTCCAACCTTTTGGAGTTAGTTAGACCACAAAAAATGAAAAATAAAAAAAAAATATTTGGGGTGTTCGGGCTTCCTGAAGGTAATACCCGGGTATTAGGTTTTGGGGCTAGGGTAAGGTTTAAGGTTTTTGGCGATAGGGTTAAAATCACTGTCCAAAACCTTTGTAGGAACTCTTTTCCAACCTTTTGGAGTTAGTTAGACCAAAAAAAATGAATAAATAAAAAAATATATATTTGGGGTGTTCGGGCTTCCTGAAGGTAATACCCGGGTATTAGGTTTTGGGGCTAGGGTAAGGTTTAAGGTTTTTGGCGTAAGGGTTAAAATCACTGTCCAAAACCTTTTTAGGAACATGTTTCAGACCTTTTGGAGATGGTTACACCAAAAAAATGTAAAATGAAAAAAAAAATATTTGGGGTGTTCGGGCTTCCTGAAGGTAATACCCGGGTATTAGGTTATGGGGCTAGGGTAAGGTTTAAGGTTTTTGGCGATAGGGTTAAAATCACTGTCCAAAACCTTTGTAGGAACTCTTTTCAAACCTTTTGGAGTTAGTTAGACAAAAAAAAAAGATAAATGAAAAAAAAAATATTTGGGGTGTTCGGGCTTCCTGAAGGTAATAACCGGGTATTAGGTTATGGGGCTAGGGTAAGTTTTAAGGTTTTTGGCGTAAGGGTTAAATAACTGTCCAATATTTTTTAAGGAACATGTTTCAGACCTTTTGGAGATGGTTACACCAAAAAAAATGTAAAATGAAAAAAAATTTTTTTGGGGTGTTCGGGCTTCCTGAAGGTAATACCCGGGTATTAGGTTTTGGGGCTAGGGTAAGGTTTAAGGTTTTTGGCGTTAGGGTTAAAATCACTGTCCAAAACCTTTTTAGGAACATGTTTCAGACCTTTTGGAGTTAGTTAGACAAAAAAAAAAGAAAAAGAAAAAAAATATTTGGGGTGTTCGGGCTTCCTGAAGGTAATACCCGGGTATTAGGTTAGGGGCTAGGTAAGGTTTAAGGTTTTTGGCGTGAGGGTTAAAATCACTGTCCAAAACCTTTGTAGGAACTCTTTTCCAACCTTTTGGAGTTAGTTAGACCACAAAAAATGAAAAAAAAAAAAAAAAATATTTGGGGTGTTCGGGCTTCCTGAAGGTAATACCCGGGTATTAGGTTTTGGGGCTAGGGTAAGGTTTAAGGTTTTTGGCGATAGGGTTAAAATCACTGTCCAAAACCTTTGTAGGAAGTCTTTTCCTACCTTTTGGAGTTAGTTAGACAAAAAAAAAAAAATAAATGACAAAAAAATATTTGGGGTGTTCGGGCTTCCTGAAGGTAATACCCGGGTATTAGGTTATGGGGCTAGGTTAAGGTTTAAGGTTTTTGGCGTGAGGGTTAAAATCACTGTCCAAAACCTTTGTAGGAAGTCTTTTCCAACCTTTTGGAGTTAGTTAGACAAAAAAAAAAAGATAAATGAAAAAAAATATTTGGGGTGTTCGGGCTTCCTGAAGGTAATACCCGGGTATTAGGTTTTGGGGCTAGGGTAACTTTTAAGGTTTTTGGCGATAGGGTTAAAATCACTGTCCAAAACCTTTGTAGGAACTCTTTTCCAACCTTTTGGAGTTAGTTAGACAAAAAAAAAAAGATAAATTAAAAAAAAATATTTGGGGTGTTCGGGCTTCCTGAAGGTAATACCCGGGTATTAGGTTATGGGGCTAGGGTAAGGTTTAAGGTTTTTGGCGTAAGGGTTAAAATCACTGTCCAAAACCTTTTTAGGAACATGTTTCCAACCTTTTGGAGTTAGTTAGACCAAAAAAAAAGAAAAAAGAAAAAAAAATATTTGGGGTGTTCGGGCTTCCTGAAGGTAATACCCGGGTATTAGGTTATGGGGCTAGGGTAAGGTTTAAGGTTTTTGGCGATAGGGTTAAAATCACTGTCCAAAACCTTTGTAGGAACTCTTTTCCAACCTTTTGGAGTTAGTTAGACCAAAAAAAAAAGATAAATGAAAAAAAATATTTGGGGTGTTCGGGCTTCCTGAAGGTAATACCCGGGTATTAGGTTATGGGGCTAGGGTAAGGTTTAAGGTTTAAGGTTTTTGGCGTGAGGGTTAAAATCACTGTCCAAAACCTTTGTAGGAACTCTTTTCCAACCTTTTGGAGTTAGTTAGACAAAAAAAAAAAGATAAATGAAAAAAAAATATTTGGGGTGTTCGGGCTTCCTGAAGGTAATACCCGGGTATTAGGTTTTGGGGCTAGGGTTAGGTTTAAGGTTTTTGGCGTTAGGGTTAAAGTAACTGTCCAATATTTTTTAAGGAACATGTTTCAGACCTTTGGGAGTTAGTTAGACAAAAAAAAAAGAAAAAGAAAAAAAAATATTTGGGGTGTTCGGGTTTCCTGAAGGTAATACCCGGGTATTAGGTTAGGGGCTAAGGTAAGGTTTAAGGTTTTTGGCGTGAGGGTTAAAATCACTGTCCAAAACCTTTGTAGGAACTCTTTAACATCCTTTTGGAGTTAGTTAGACCAAAAAAAAAAACGAAAAATGAAAAAACAATATTTGGGGTTTTCGGGCTTCCTGAAGGTAATACCCGGGTATTAGGTTATGGGGCTAGGGTAAGGTTTAAGGTTATTGGCGCGAGGGTTAAAATCACTGTCCAAAACCTTTGTAGGAACTCTTTTCCAACCTTTTGGAGTTAGTTAGACCACAAAAAATGAAAAATAAAAAAAAATATTTGGGGTGTTCGGGCTTCCTGAAGGTAATACCCGGGTATTAGGTTTTGGGGCTAGGGTAACTTTTAAGGTTTTTGGCGATAGGGTTAAAATCACTGTCCAAAACCTTTGTAGGAACTCTTTTCCAACCTTTTGGAGTTAGTTAGACCACAAAAAATGAAAAATAAAAAAAAAAATATTTGGGGTGTTCAGGCTTCCTGAAGGTAATACCCGGGTATTAGGTTTTGGGGCTAGGGTAACTTTTAAGGTTTTTGGCGATAGGGTTAAAATCACTGTCCAAAACCTTTGTAGGAACTCTTTTCCAACCTTTTGGAGTTAGTTAGACAAAAAAAAAAAGATAAATTAAAAAAAAATATTTGGGGTGTTCGGGCTTCCTGAAGGTAATACCCGGGTATTAGGTTAGGGGCTAAGGTAAGGTTTAAGGTTTTTGGCGTGAGGGTTAAAATCACTGTCCAAAACCTTTGTAGGAACTCTTTTCCAACCTTTTGGAGTTAGTTAGACAAAAAAAAAAAGATAAATGAAAAAAAAAAATATTTGGGGTGTTCGGGCTTCCTGAAGGTAATACCCGGGTATTAGGTTATGGGGCTAGGGTAAGGTTTAAGGTTTTTGGCGTAAGGGTTAAAGTAACTGTCCAATATTTTTTAAGGAACATGTTTCAGACCTTTGGGAGTTAGTTAGACAAAAAAAAAAAGAAAAAGAAAAAAAAATATTTGGGGTGTTCGGGTTTCCTGAAGGTAATACCCGGGTATTAGGTTAGGGGCTAAGGTAAGGTTTAAGGTTTTTGGCGTGAGGGTTAAAATCACTGTCCAAAACCTTTGTAGGAACTCTTTTCCAACCTTTTGGAGTTAGTTAGACCACAAAAAATGAAAAATAAAAAAAAAAATATTTGGGGTGTTCGGGCTTCCTGAAGGTAATACCCGGGTATTAGGTTTTGGGGCTAGGGTAAGTTTAAGGTTTTTGGCGATAGGGTTAAAATCACTGTCCAAAACCTTTGTAGGAACTCTTTTCCAACCTTTTGGAGTTAGTTAGACAAAAAAAATAAATAAATGAAAAAAAAATATTTGGGGTGTTCGGGCTTCCTGAAGGTAATACCCGGGTATTAGGTTATGGGGCTAGGTTAAGGTTTAAGGTTTTTGGCGTGAGGGTTAAAATCACTGTCCAAAACCTTTGTAGGAACTCTTTTCCAACCTTTTGGAGTTAGTTAGACAAAAAAAAAAAGATAAATGAAAAAAAAATATTTGGGGTGTTCGGGCTTCCTGAAGGTAATACCCGGGTATTAGGTTTTGGGGCTAGGGTAACTTTTAAGGTTTTTGGCGATAGGGTTAAAATCACTGTCCAAAACCTTTGTAGGAACTCTTTTCCAACCTTTTGGAGTTAGTTAGACAAAAAAAAAAGATAAATGAAAAAAAAATATTTGGGGTGTTCGGGCTTCCTGAAGGTAATACCCGGGTATTAGGTTATGGGGCTAGGGTAAGGTTTAAGGTTTTTGGCGTAAGGGTTAAAATCACTGTCCAAAACCTTTTTAGGAACATGTTTCAGACCTTTTGGAGATGGTTACACCAAAAAAAATGTAAAATGAAAAAAAAAATATTTGGGGTGTTCGGGCTTCCTGAAGGTAATACCCGGGTATTAGGTTATGGGGCTAGGGTAAGGTTTAAGGTTTTTGGCGATAGGGTTAAAATCACTGTCCAAAACCTTTGTAGGAACTCTTTTCCAACCTTTTGGAGTTAGTTAGACAAAAAAAAAAAAGATAAATGAAAAAAAAATATTTGGGGTGTTCGGGCTTCCTGAAGGTAATACCCGGGTATTAGGTTTTGGGGCTAGGGTTAGGTTTAAGGTTTTTGGCGTTAGGGTTAAAGTAACTGTCCAATATTTTTTAAGGAACATGTTTCAGACCTTTGGGAGTTAGTTAGACAAAAAAAAAAGAAAAAGAAAAAAAAATATTTGGGGTGTTCGGGTTTCCTGAAGGTAATACCCGGGTATTAGGTTAGGGGCTAAGGTAAGGTTTAAGGTTTTTGGCGTGAGGGTTAAAATCACTGTCCAAAACCTTTGTAGGAACTCTTTAACATCCTTTTGGAGTTAGTTAGACCAAAAAAAAAACGAAAAATGAAAAAACAATATTTGGGGTTTTCGGGCTTCCTGAAGGTAATACCCGGGTATTAGGTTATGGGGCTAGGGTAAGGTTTAAGGTTTTTGGCGATAGGGTTAAAATCACTGTCCAAAACCTTTGTAGGAACTCTTTTCCAACCTTTTGGAGTTAGTTAGACCACAAAAAATGAAAAATAAAAAAATATATTTGGGGTGTTCAGGCTTCCTGAAGGTAATACCCGGGTATTAGGTTATGGGGCTAGGGTAACTTTTAAGGTTTTTGGCGATAGGGTTAAAATCACTGTCCAAAACCTTTGTAGGAACTCTTTTCCAACCTTTTGGAGTTAGTTAGACAAAAAAAAAAGATAAATTAAAAAAAAATATTTGGGGTGTTCGGGCTTCCTGAAGGTAATACCCGGGTATTAGGTTAGGGGCTAAGGTAAGGTTTAAGGTTTTTGGCGTGAGGGTTAAAATCACTGTCCAAAACCTTTGTAGGAACTCTTTTCCAACCTTTTGGAGTTAGTTAGACCACAAAAAATGAATAATAAAAAAAATATATATTTGGGGTGTTCGGGCTTCCTGAAGGTAATACCCGGGTATTAGGTTTTGGGGCTAGGGTTAGGTTTAAGGTTTTTGGCGTTAGGGTTAAAGTAACTGTCCAATATTTTTAAGGAACATGTTTCAGACCTTTGGGAGTTAGTTAGACAAAAAAAAAAAGAAAAAGAAAAAAAAAATATTTGGGGTGTTCGGGTTTCCTGAAGGTAATACCCGGGTATTAGGTTAGGGGCTAAGGTAAGGTTTAAGGTTTTTGGCGTGAGGGTTAAAATCACTGTCCAAAACCTTTGTAGGAACTCTTTAACATCCTTTTTGAGTTAGTTAGACCAAAAAAAAAGCGAAAAATGAAAAAAAAATATTTGGGGTTTTCGGGCTTCCTGAAGGTAATACCCGGGTATTAGGTTATGGGGCTAGGGTAAGGTTTAAGGTTATTGGCGCGAGGGTTAAAATCACTGTCCAAAACCTTTGTAGGAACTCTTTTCCAACCTTTTGGAGTTAGTTAGACCACAAAAAATGAAAAATAAAAAAAAAAATATTTAGGGTGTTCAGGCTTCCTGAAGGTAATAACCGAGTATTAGGTTTTGGGGCTAGGGTAACTTTTAAGGTTTTTGGCGATAGGGTTAAAATCACTGTCCAAAACCTTTGTAGGAACTCTTTTCCAACCTTTTGGAGTTAGTTAGACAACAAAAAATGAAAAAAAAAAAAAAAAATATTTGGGGTGTTCAGGCTTCCTGAAGGTAATACCCGGGTATTAGGTTTTGGGGCTAGGGTAACTTTTAAGGTTTTTGGCGATAGGGTTAAAATCACTGTCCAAAACCTTTGTAGGAACTCTTTTCCAACCTTTTGGAGTTAGTTAGACCACAAAAAATGAAAAAAATATATATATATATTTGGGGTGTTCAGGCTTCCTGAAGGTAATATCCGGGTATTAGGTTTTGGGGCTAGGGTAACTTTTAAGGTTTTTGGCGATAGGGTTAAAATCACTGTCCAAAACCTTTGTAGGAACTCTTTTCCAACCTTTTGGAGTTAGTTAGACAAAAAAAAAAAAAAGATAAATTAAAAAAAAATATTTGGGGTGTTCGGGCTTCCTGAAGGTAATACCCGGGTATTAGGTTATGGGGCTAGGGTTAGGTTTAAGGTTTTTGGCGTTAGGGTTAAAATCACTGTCCAAAACCTTTTTAGGAACATGTTTCAGACCTTTTGGAGATGGTTACACCAAAAAAAAATGTAAAATGAAAAAAAAAATATTTGGGGTGTTCGGGTTTCCTGAAGGTAATACCCGGGTATTAGGTTAGGGGCTAAGGTAAGGTTTAAGGTTTTTGGCGTGAGGGTTAAAATCACTGTCCAAAACCTTTGTAGGAACTCTTTAACATCCTTTTGGAGTTAGTTAGACCAAAAAAAAAACGAAAAATGAAAAAACAATATTTGGGGTTTTCGGGCTTCCTGAAGGTAATACCCGGGTATTAGGTTATGGGGCTAGGGTAAGGTTTAAGGTTATTGGCGCGAGGGTTAAAATCACTGTCCAAAACCTTTGTAGGAACTCTTTTCCAACCTTTTGGAGTTAGTTAGACCACAAAAAATGAAAAATAAAAAAAAAAATATTTAGGGTGTTCAGGCTTCCTGAAGGTAATACCAGGGTATTAGGTTTTGGGGCTAGGGTAACTTTTAAGGTTTTTGGCGATAGGGTTAAAATCACTGTCCAAAACCTTTGTAGGAACTCTTTTCCAACCTTTTGGAGTTAGTTAGACCACAAAAAATGAAAAAAAAAAATATATATATTTGGGGTGTTCAGGCTTCCTGAAGGTAATACCCGGGTATTAGGTTATGGGGCTAGGGTAACTTTTAAGGTTTTTGGCGTGAGGGTTAAAATCACTTTCCAAAACCTTTGTAGGAACTCTTTTCCAACCTTTTGGAGTTAGTTAGACAAAAAAAAAAAGATAAATGAAAAAAAAAATATTTGGGGTGTTCGGGCTTCCTGAAGGTAATACCCGGGTATTAGGTTTTGGGGCTAGAGTTAGGTTGAAGGTTTTTGGCGTTAGGGTTAAAATCAATGTCCAAAACCTTTTTAAAGAAACATGTTTCAGACCTTTTGGAGATGGTTACACCAAAAAAAACGAAAAATGAAAAAACAATATTTGGGGTGTTCGGGCTTCCTGAAGGTAATACCCGGGTATTAGGTTATGGGGCTAGGGTAAGGTTTAAGGTTTTTGGCGTGAGGGTTAAAATCACTTTCCAAAACCTTTGTAGGAAGTCTTTTCCAACCTTTTGGAGTTAGTTAGACAAAAAAAAAAGATAAATGAAAAAAAAATATTTGGGGTGTTCGGGCTTCCTGAAGGTAATACCCGGGTATTACGTTTTGGGGCTAGGGTAACTTTTAAGGTTTTTGGCGATAGGGTTAAAATCACTGTCCAAAACCTTTGTAGGAACTCTTTTCCAACCTTTTGGAGTTAGTTAGACAAAAAAAAAAGATAAATTAAAAAAAAATATTTGGGGTGTTCGGGCTTCCTGAAGGTAATACCCGGGTATTAGGTTATGGGGCTAGGGTAAGGTTTAAGGTTTTTGGCGTAAGGGTTAAAATCACTGTCCAAAACCTTTTTAGGAACATGTTTCAGACCTTTTGGAGATGGTTACACCAAAAAAAATGTAAAATGAAAAAAAAAAATATTTGGGGTGTTCGGGCTTCCTGAAGGTAATACCCGGGTATTAGGTTATGGGGCTAGGGTAAGGTTTAAGGTTTTTGGCGATAGGGTTAAAATCACTGTCCAAAACCTTTGTAGGAACTCTTTTCCAACCTTTTGGAGTTAGTTAGACAAAAAAAAAAAGATAAATGAAAAAAAAAATATTTGGGGTGTTCGGGCTTCCTGAAGGTAATACCCGGGTATTAGGTTATGGGGCTAGGGAAAGGTTTAAGGTTTTGGGCGTAAGGGTTAAAATCAGTGTACAAAACCTTTTTAGGAACATGTTTCAGACCTTTTGGAGTTGGTTACACCAAAAAAAATGTAAAATGAAAAAAAAATTTTTTTGGGTGTTCGGGCTTCCTGAAGGTTATACTAGGTTTCTGGGCTAGGGTAATGTTTAAGGTTTTTGGAGTTAGGGTTAAAATCAATGTCCAAAACCTTTGTAGGAACTCTTTTCCAACCTTTTGGAGTTAGTTAGACCACAAAAAATGAAAAATAAAAAAAAATATATTTGGGGTGTTCGGGCTTCCTGAAGGTAATACCCGGGTATTAGGTTTTGGGGCTAGGGTAACTTTTAAGGTTTTTGGCGTGAGGGTTAAAATCACTGTCCAAAACCTTTGTAGGAACTCTTTAACATCCTTTTGGAGTTAGTTAGACCAAAAAAAAAACGAAAAATGAAAAAACAATATTTGGGGTTTTCGGGCTTCCTGAAGGTAATACCCGGGTATTAGGTTATGGGGCTAGGGTAAGGTTTAAGGTTTTTGGCGCGAGGGTTAAAATCACTGTCCAAAACCTTTGTAGGAACTCTTTTCCAACCTTTTGGAGTTAGTTAGACCACAAAAAATGAAAAATAAAAAAAAATATATTTAGGGTGTTCAGGCTTCCTGAAGGTAATACCCGGGTATTAGGTTTTGGGGCTAGGGTAACTTTTAAGGTTTTTGGCGATAGGGTTAAAATCACTGTCCAAAACCTTTGTAGGAACTCTTTTCCAACCTTTTGGAGTGAGTTAGACCACAAAAAATGAAAAATAAAAAAAAAATATTTGGGGTGTTCAGGCTTCCTGAAGGTAATACCCGGGTATTAGGTTTTGGGGCTAGGGTAACTTTTAAGGTTTTTGGTGATAGGGTTAAAATCACTGTCCAAAACCTTTGTAGGAACTCTTTTCCAACCTTTTGGAGTTAGTTAGACCACAAAAAATGAAAAAAAAAATATATATATATTTGGGGTGTTCAGGCTTCCTGAAGGTAATACCCGGGTATTAGGTTTTGGGGCTAGGGTAACTTTTAAGGTTTTTGGCGATAGGGTTAAAATCACTGTCCAAAACCTTTGTAGGAACTCTTTTCCAACCTTTTGGAGTTAGTTAGACAAAAAAAAAAAGATAAATTAAAAAAAAATATTTGGGGTGTTCGGGCTTCCTGAAGGTAATACCCGGGTATTAGGTTATGGGGCTAGGGTAAGGTTTAAGGTTTTTGGCGTAAGGGTTAAAATCACTGTCCAAAACCTTTTTAGGAACATGTTTCAGACCTTTTGGAGATGGTTACACCAAAAAAAAATGTAAAATGAAAAAAAAAATATTTGGGGTGTTCGGGCTTCCTGAAGGTAATACCCGGGTATTAGGTTATGGGGCTAGGGTAAGGTTTAAGGTTTTTGGCGATAGGGTTAAAATCACTGTCCAAAACCTTTGTAGGAACTCTTTTCCAACCTTTTGGAGTTAGTTAGACAAAAAAAAAAGATAAATGAAAAAAAAAATATTTGGGGTGTTCGGGCTTCCTGAAGGTAATACCCGGGTATTAGGTTTTGGGGCTAGAGTTAGGTTTAAGGTTTTTGGCGTTAGGGTTAAAGTAACTGTCCAATATTTTTTAAGGAACATGTTTCAGACCTTTGGGAGTTAGTTAGACAAAAAAAAAAGAAAAAGAAAAAAAAATATTTGGGGTGTTCGGGCTTCCTGAAGGTAATACCCGGGTATTAGGTTAGGGGCTAAGGTAAGGTTTAAGGTTTTTGGCGTGAGGGTTAAAATCACTGTCCAAAACCTTTGTAGGAACTCTTTTCCAACCTTTTGGAGTTAGTTAGACCACAAAAAATGAAAAATAAAAAAAAAAATATTTGGGGTGTTCGGGCTTCCTGAAGGTAATACCCGGGTATTAGGTTTTGGGGCTAGGGTAACTTTTAAGGTTTTTGGCGATAGGGTTAAAATCACTGTCCAAAACCTTTGTAGGAACTCTTTTCCAACCTTTTGGAGTTAGTTAGACAAAAAAAAAAAAGATAAATTAAAAAAAAATATTTGGGGTGTTCGGGCTTCCTGAAGGTAATACCCGGGTATTAGGTTATGGGGCTAGGGTAAGGTTTAAGGTTTTTGGCGTAAGGGTTAAAATCACTGTCCAAAACCTTTTTTAAGGAACATGTTTCAGACCTTTGGGAGTGAGTTACAAAAAAAAAAAAGAAAAAGAAAAAAAAATATTTGGGGTGTTCGGGTTTCCTGAAGGTAATACCCGGGTATTAGGTTAGGGGCTAAGGTAAGGTTTAAGGTTTTTGGCGTGAGGGTTAAAATCACTGTCCAAAACCTTTGTAGGAACTCTTTTCCAACCTTTTGGAGTTAGTTAGACCACAAAAAATGAAAAATAAAAAAATATATATTTGGGGTGTTCGGGCTTCCTGAAGGTAATACCCGGGTATTAGGTTTTGGGGCTAGGGTAACTTTTAAGGTTTTTGGCGATAGGGTTAAAATCACTGTCCAAAACCTTTGTAGGAACTCTTTTCCAACCTTTTGGAGTTAGTTAGACAAAAAAAAAAAGATAAATGAAAAAAAAAATATTTGGGGTGTTCGGGCTTCCTGAAGGTAATACCCGGGTATTAGGTTATGGGGCTAGTTTAAGGTTTAAGGTTTTTGGCGTGAGGGTTAAAATCACTGTCCAAAACCTTTGTAGGAACTCTTTTCCAACCTTTTGGAGTTAGTTAGACAAAAAAAAAAGATAAATGAAAAAAAAATATTTGGGGTGTTCGGGCTTCCTGAAGGTAATACCCGGGTATTAGGTTTTGGGGCTAGAGTTAGGTTTAAGGTTTTTGGCGTTAGGGTTAAAGTAACTGTCCAATATTTTTTAAGGAACATGTTTCAGACCTTTGGGAGTTAGTTAGACAAAAAAAAAAGAAAAAGAAAAAAAAATATTTGGGGTGTTCGGGTTTCCTGAAGGTAATACCCGGGTATTAGGTTAGGGGCTAAGGTAAGGTTTAAGGTTTTTGGCGTGAGGGTTAAAATCACTGTCCAAAACCTTTGTAGGAACTCTTTTCCAACCTTTTGGAGTTAGTTAGACCACAAAAAATGAATAATAAAAAAAATATATATTTGGGGTGTTCGGGCTTCCTGAAGGTAATACCCGGGTATTAGGTTTTGGGGCTAGGGTAACTTTTAAGGTTTTTGGCGATAGGGTTAAAATCACTGTCCAAAACCTTTGTAGGAACTCTTTTCCAACCTTTTGGAGTTAGTTAGACCACAAAAAATGAAAAATAAAAAAAAAAATATTTGGGGTGTTCAGGCTTCCTGAAGGTAATACCCGGGTATTAGGTTTTGGGGCTAGGGTAACTTTTAAGGTTTTTGGCGATAGGGTTAAAATCACTGTCCAAAACCTTTGTAGGAACTCTTTTCCAACCTTTTGGAGTTAGTTAGACAAAAAAAAAAAAGATAAATTAAAAAAAAATATTTGGGGTGTTCGGGCTTCCTGAAGGTAATACCCGGGTATTAGGTTAGGGGCTAAGGTAAGGTTTAAGGTTTTTGGCGTGAGGGTTAAAATCACTGTCCAAAACCTTTGTAGGAACTCTTTTCCAACCTTTTGGAGTTAGTTAGACCACAAAAAATGAATAATAAAAAAAATATATATTTGGGGTGTTCGGGCTTCCTGAAGGTAATACCCGGGTATTAGGTTTTGGGGCTAGGGTTAGGTTTAAGGTTTTTGGCGTTAGGGTTAAAGTAACTGTCCAAAATTTTTTAAGGAACATGTTTCAGACCTTTGGGAGTTAGTTAGACAAAAAAAAAGAAAAAAGAAAAAAAAATATTTGGGGTGTTCGGGTTTCCTGAAGGTAATACCCGGGTATTAGGTTAGGGGCTAAGGTAAGGTTTAAGGTTTTTGGCGTGAGGGTTAAAATCACTGTCCAAAACCTTTGTAGGAACTCTTTAACATCCTTTTTGAGTTAGTTAGACCAAAAAAAAAACGAAAAATGAAAAAACAATATTTGGGGTGTTCAGGCTTCCTGAAGGTAATACCCGGGTATTAGGTTATGGGGCTAGGGTAAGGTTTAAGGTTATTGGCGCGAGGGTTAAAATCACTGTCCAAAACCTTTGTAGGAACTCTTTTCCAACCTTTTGGAGTTAGTTAGACCACAAAAAATGAAAAATAAAAAAAAAAATATTTAGGGTGTTCAGGCTTCCTGAAGGTAATACCCGGGTATTAGGTTTTGGGGCTAGGGTAACTTTTAAGGTTTTTGGCGATAGGGTTAAAATCACTGTCCAAAACCTTTGTAGGAACTCTTTTCCAACCTTTTGGAGTTAGTTAGACAAAAAAAAAAAAAGATAAATTAAAAAAAAATATTTGGGGTGTTCGGGCTTCCTGAAGGTAATACCCGGGTATTAGGTTATGGGGCTAGGGTAAGGTTTAAGGTTTTTGGCGTAAGGGTTAAAGTAACTGTCCAATATTTTTTAAGGAACATGTTTCAGACCTTTGGGAGTGAGTTAGACAAAAAAAAAGAAAAAGAAAAAAAAATATTTGGGGTGTTCGGGTTTCCTGAAGGCAATACCCGGGTATTAGGTTAGGGGCTAAGGTAAGGTTTAAGGTTTTTGGCGTGAGGGTTAAAATCACTGTCCAAAACCTTTGTAGGAACTCTTTTCCTACCTTTTGGAGTTAGTTAGACAAAAAAAATAAATAAATGAAAAAAAAATATTTGGGGTGTTCAGGCTTCCTGAAGGTAATACCCGGGTATTAGGTTATGGGGCTAGGTTAAGGTTTAAGGTTTTTGGCGTGAGGGTTAAAATCACTTTCCAAAACCTTTGTAAGAAGTCTTTTCCAACCTTTTGGAGTTAGTTAGACAAAAAAAAAAAGATAAATGAAAAAAAAATATTTGGGGTGTTCGGGCTTCCTGAAGGTAATACCCGGGTATTACGTTTTGGGGCTAGGGTAACTTTTAAGGTTTTTGACGATAGGGTTAAAATCACTGTCCAAAACCTTTGTAGGAACTCTTTTCCAACCTTTTGGAGTTAGTTAGACAAAAAAAAAAAGATAAATTAAAAAAAAATATTTGGGGTGTTCGGGCTTCCTGAAGGTAATACCCGGGTATTAGGTTATGGGGCTAGGGTAAGGTTTAAGGTTTTTGGCGTAAGGGTTAAAATCACTGTCCAAAACCTTTTTAGGAACAAAAAAATATTTGGGGTGTTCGGGCTTCCTGAAGGTAATACCCGGGTATTAGGTTATGGGGCTAGGGTAAGGTTTAAGGTTTTTGGCGATAGGGTTAAAATCACTGTCCAAAACCTTTGTAGGAACTCTTTTCCAACCTTTGGGAATTAGTTAGACAAAAAAAAAGATAAATGAAAAAAAAATATTTGGGGTGTTCGGGCTTCCTGAAGGTAATACCCGGGTATTAGGTTTTGGGGCTAGGGTTAGGTTTAAGGTTTTTGGCGTTAGGGTTAAAGTAACTGTCCAATATTTTTAAGGAACATGTTTCAGACCTTTGGGAGTTAGTTAGACAAAAAAAAAAGAAAAAGAAAAAAAAATATTTGGGGTGTTCGGGTTTCCTGAAGGTAATACCCGGGTATTAGGTTTTGGGGCTAGGGTAACTTTTAAGGTTTTTGGCGATAGGGTTAAAATCACTGTCCAAAACCTTTGTAGGAACTCTTTTCCAACCTTTTGGAGTGAGTTAGACCACAAAAAATGAAAAATAAAAAAAAAAATATTTGGGGTGTTCAGGCTTCCTGAAGGTAATACCCGGGTATTAGGTTTTGGGGCTAGGGTAACTTTTAAGGTTTTTGGCGATATGGTTAAAATCACTGTCCAAAACCTTTGTAGGAACTCTTTTCCAACCTTTTGGAGTTAGTTAGACCACAAAAAATGAAAAAAAAAAAATATATATATTTGGGGTGTTCAGGCTTCCTGAAGGTAATACCCAGGTATTAGGTTTTGGGGCTAGGGTAACTTTTAAGGTTTTTGGCGATAGGGTTAAAATCACTGTCCAAAACCTTTGTAGGAACTCTTTTCCAACCTTTTGGAGTTAGTTAGACAAAAAAAAAAAAGATAAATTAAAAAAAAATATTTGGGGTGTTCGGGCTTCCTGAAGGTAATACCCGGGTATTAGGTTATGGGGCTAGGGTAAGGTTTAAGGTTTTTGGCGTAAGGGTTAAAATCACTGTCCAAAACCTTTTTAGGAACATGTTTCCGACCTTTTGGAGTTATGGTTACACAAAAAAAAATGTAAAATGAAAAAAAAAATATTTGGGGTGTTCGGGCTTCCTGAAGGTAATACCCGGGTATTAGGTTATGGGGCTAGGGTAAGGTTTAAGGTTTTTGGTGATAGGGTTAAAATCACTGTCCAAAACCTTTGTAGGAACTCTTTTCCAACCTTTGGGAGTTAGTTAGACAAAAAAAAAAGATAAATGAAAAAAAAAATATTTGGGGTGTTCGGGCTTCCTGAAGGTAATACCCGGGTATTAGGTTATGGGGCTAGGGTAAGGTTTAAGGTTTTTGGCGTAAGGGTTAAAGTAACTGTCCAATATTTTTTAAGGAACATGTTTCAGACCTTTTGGAGTTGGTTACACCAAAAAAAATGTAAAATGAAAAAAAAATTTTTTTGGGTGTTCGGGCTTCCTGAAGGTAATACCCGGGTATTAGGTTTTGGGGCTAGAGTTAGGTTTAAGGTTTTTGGCGTTAGGGTTAAAGTAACTGTCCAAAACCTTTGTAGGAACTCTTTTCCAACCTTTTGGAGTTAGTTAGACCACAAAAAATGAAAAATAAAAAAAAAATATTTGGGGTGTTCGGGCTTCCTGAAGGTAATACCCGGGTATTAGGTTATGGGACTAGGTTTAAGGTTTAAGGTTTTTGGCGTGAGGGTTAAAATCACTTTCCAAAACCTTTGTAGGAAGTCTTTTCCAACCTTTTGGAGTTAGTTAGACAAAAAAAAATGAAAAAAAAAAAAATATTTGGGGTGTTCAGGCTTCCTGAAGGTAATACCCGGGTATTAGGTTTTGGGGCTAGGGTAACTTTTAGTGTTTTTGGTGATATGGTTAAAATCACTGTCCAAAACCTTTGTAGGAACTCTTTTCCAACCTTTTGGAGTTAGTTAGACAGAAAAAAAAAGATAAATTAAAAAAAAATATTTGGGGTGTTCGGGCTTCCTGAAGGTAATACCCGGGTATTAGGTTATGGGGCTAGGGTAAGGTTTAAGGTTTTTGGCGTAAGGGTTAAAATCACTGTCCAAAACCTTTTTAGGAACATGTTTCAGACCTTTTGGAGATGGTTACACCAAAAAAATTGTAAAATGAAAAAAAATATATTTGGGGTGTTCGGGCTTCCTGAAGGTAATACCCGGGTATTAGGTTATGGGGCTAGGGTAAGGTTTAAGGTTTTTGGTGATAGGGTTAAAATCACTGTCCAAAACCTTTGTAGGAACTCTTTTCCAACCTTTTGGAGTTAGTTAGACAAAAAAAAAAAGATAAATGAAAAAAAAAATATTTGGGGTGTTCGGGCTTCCTGAAGGTAATACCCGGGTATTAGGTTATGGGGCTAGGGAAAGGTTTAAGGTTTTGGGCGTAAGGGTTAAAATCAGTGTACAAAACCTTTTTAGGAACATGTTTCAGACCTTTTGGAGTTGGTTACACCAAAAAAAATGTAAAATGAAAAAAAAATTTTTTGGGGTGTTCGGGCTTCCTGAAGGTTATACCAGGTTTCTGGGCTAGGGTAATGTTTAAGGTTTTTGGAGTTAGGGTTAAAATCAATGTCCAAAACCTTTGTAGGAACTCTTTTCCAACCTTTGAGAGCAAGTTAGACCAAAACAAAAAGAAAAATAAAAAATATATATTTGGGGTGTTCGGGCATCCTGAAGGTAATACCCGGGTATTAGGTTATGGGGCTAGGGTAAGGTTTAAGGTTTAAGGTTTTTCGGCGTGAGGGTAAACAATCACTGTCCAAAACCTTTGTAGGAACTCTTTTCCAACCTTTTGGAGTTAGTTAGACCACAAAAAATGAAAAATAAAAAAAAAAAATATTTGGGGTGTTCGGGCTTCCTGAAGGTAATACCCGGGTATTAGGTTTTGGGGCTAGGGTAACTTTTAAGGTTTTTGGCGATAGGGTTAAAATCACTGTCCAAAACCTTTGTAGGAACTCTTTTCACACCTTTTGGAGTTAGTTAGACCACAAAAAATGAATAATAAAAAAAATATATATTTGGGGTGTTCGGGCTTCCTGAAGGTAATACCCGGGTATTAGGTTTTGGGGCTAGGGTTAGGTTTAAGGTTTTTGGCGTAAGGGTTAAAATCACTGTCCAAAACCTTTTTAGGAACATGTTTCAGACCTTTTGGAGATGGTTACACCAAAAAAAAATGTAAAATGAAAAAAAAAATATTTGGGGTGTTCGGGCTTCCTGAAGGTAATACCCGGGTATTAGGTTATGGGGCTAGGGTAAGGTTTAAGGTTTTTGGCGATAGGGTTAAAATCACTGTCCAAAACCTTTGTAGGAACTCTTTTCAAACCTTTTGGAGTTAGTTAGACAAAAAAAAAAGATAAATGAAAAAAAAAATATTTGGGGTGTTCGGGCTTCCTGAAGGTAATAACCGGGTATTAGGTTATGGGGCTAGGGTAAGTTTTAAGGTTTTTGGCGTAAGGGTTAAAGTAACTGTCCAATATTTTTTAAGGAACATGTTTCAGACCTTTTGGAGATGGTTACACCAAAAAAAATGTAAAATGAAAAAAAAATTTTTTTGGGTGTTCGGGCTTCCTGAAGGTAATACCCGGGTATTAGGTTTTGGGGCTAGAGTTAGGTTTAAGGTTTTTGGCGTTAGGGTTAAAGTAACTGTCCAATATTTTTTAAGGAACATGTTTCAGACCTTTGGGAGTTAGTTAGACAAAAAAAAAAGAAAAAGAAAAAAAAATATTTGGGGTGTTCGGTTTTCCTGAAGGTAATACCCGGGTATTAGGTTAGGGGCTAAGGTAAGGTTTAAGGTTTTTGGCGTGAGGGTTAAAATCACTGTCCAAAACCTTTGTGGGAACTCTTTTCCAACCTTTTGGAGTTAGTTAGACCACAAAAAATGAAAAAAAAAAAAATATATATTTGGGGTGTTCGGGCTTCCTGAAGGTAATACCCGGGTATTAGGTTTTGGGGCTAGGGTAACTTTTAAGGTTTTTGGCGATAGGGTTAAAATCACTGTCCAAAACCTTTGTAGGAAGTCTTTTCCTACCTTTTGGAGTTAGTTAGACAAAAAAAAAAAAATAAATGAAAAAAAAATATTTGGGGTGTTCGGGCTTCCTGAAGGTAATACCCGGGTATTAGGTTATGGGGCTAGGTTAAGGTTTAAGGTTTTTGGCGTGAGGGTTAAAATCACTTTCCAAAACCTTTGTAGGAAGTCTTTTCCAACCTTTTGGAGTTAGTTAGACAAAAAAAAAAAGATAAATGAAAAAAAAATATTTGGGGTGTTCGGGCTTCCTGAAGGTAATACCCGGGTATTAGGTTTTGGGGCTAGGGTAACTTTTAAGGTTTTTGGCGATAGGGTTAAAATCACTGTCCAAAACCTTTGTAGGAACTCTTTTCCAACCTTTTGGAGTTAGTTAGACAAAAAAAAAAAGATAAATTAAAAAAAAATATTTGGGGTGTTCGGGCTTCCTGAAGGTAATACCCGGGTATTAGGTTATGGGGCTAGGGTAAGGTTTAAGGTTTTTGGCGTAAGGGTTAAAATCACTGTCCAAAACCTTTTTAGGAACATGTTTCAGACCTTTTGGAGATGGTTACACCAAAAAAAATGTAAAATGAAAAAAAAATATTTGGGGTGTTCGGGCTTCCTGAAGGTAATACCCGGGTATTAGGTTATGGGGCTAGGGTAAGGTTTAAGGTTTTTGGCGATAGGGTTAAAATCACTGTCCAAAACCTTTGTAGGAACTCTTTTCCAACCTTTTGGAGTTAGTTAGAAAAAAAAAAAAAGATAAATGAAAAAAAAAATATTTGGGGTGTTCGGGCTTCCTGAAGGTAATACCCGGGTATTAGGTTATGGGGCTAGGGTAAGGTTTAAGGTTTAAGGTTTTTCGGCGTGAGGGTAAACAATCACTGTCCAAAACCTTTGTAGGAACTCTTTTCCAACCTTTGGGAATTAGTTAGACAAAAAAAAAAGATAAATGAAAAAAAAATATTTGGGGTGTTCGGGCTTCCTGAAGGTAATACCCGGGTATTAGGTTTTGGGGCTAGGGTTAGGTTTAAGGTTTTTGGCATTAGGGTTAAAGTAACTGTCCAATATTTTTTAAGGAACATGTTTCAGACCTTTGGGAGTTAGTTAGACAAAAAAAAAAGAAAAAGAAAAAAAATATTTGGGGTGTTCGGGTTTCCTGAAGGTAATACCCGGGTATTAGGTTAGGGGCTAAGGTAAGGTTTAAGGTTTTTGGCGTGAGGGTTAAAATCACTGTCCAAAACCTTTGTAGGAACTCTTTACCATCCTTTTGGAGTTAGTTAGACCAAAAAAAAAACGAAAAATGAAAAAACAATATTTGGGGTTTTCGGGCTTCCTGAAGGTAATACCCGGGTATTAGGTTATGGGGCTAGGGTAAGGTTTAAGGTTTTTGGCGCGAGGGTTAAAATCACTGTCCAAAACCTTTGTAGGAACTCTTTTCCAACCTTTTGGAGTTAGTTAGACCACAAAAAATGAAAAATAAAAAAAAAATATTTGGGGTGTTCAGGCTTCCTGAAGGTAATACCCGGGTATTAGGTTTTGGGGCTAGGGTAACTTTTAAGGTTTTTGGTGATAGGGTTAAAATCACTGTCCAAAACCTTTGTAGGAACTCTTTTCCAACCTTTTGGAGTTAGTTAGACCACAAAAAATGAAAAATAAAAAAAATATATTTGGGGTGTTCGGGCTTCCTGAAGGTAATACCCGGGTATTAGGTTTTGGGGCTAGGGTAACTTTTAAGGTTTTTGGCGATAGGGTTAAAATCACTGTCCAAAACCTTTGTAGGAACTCTTTTCCAACCTTTTGGAGTTAGTTAGACAAAAAAAAAAAAGATAAATTAAAAAAAAATATTTGGGGTGTTCGGGCTTCCTGAAGGTAATACCCGGGTATTAGGTTAGGGGCTAAGGTAAGGTTTAAGGTTTTTGGCGTGAGGGTTAAAATCACTGTCCAAAACCTTTGTAGGAACTCTTTTCCAACCTTTTGGAGTTAGTTAGACAAAAAAAAAAAACGAAAAATGAAAAAACAATATTTGGGGTGTTCGGGCTTCCTGAAGGTAATACCCGGGTATTAGGTTATGGGGCTAGGGTAAGGTTTAAGGTTTTTGGCGTAAGGGTTAAAGTAACTGTCCAATATTTTTTAAGGAACATGTTTCAGACCTTTGGGAGTGAGTTAGACAAAAAAAAAAGAAAAAGAAAAAAAAATATTTGGGGTGTTCGGGTTTCCTGAAGGCAATACCCGGGTATTAGGTTAGGGGCTAAGGTAAGGTTTAAGGTTTTTGGCGTGAGGGTTAAAATCACTGTCCAAAACCTTTGTAGGAACTCTTTTCCAACCTTTTGGAGTTAGTTAGACCACAAAAAATGAAAAATAAAAAAAAAAATATTTGGGGTGTTCGGGCTTCCTGAAGGTAATACCCGGGTATTAGGTTTTGGGGCTAGGGTAACTTTTAAGGTTTTTGGCGATAGGGTTAAAATCACTGTCCAAAACCTTTGTAGGAAGTCTTTTCCTACCTTTTGGAGTTAGTTAGACAAAAAAAATAAATAAATGAAAAAAAAATATTTGGGGTGTTCAGGCTTCCTGAAGGTAATACCCGGGTATTAGGTTATGGGGCTAGGTTAAGGTTTAAGGTTTTTGGCGTGAGGGTTAAAATCACTTTCCAAAACCTTTGTAAGAAGTCTTTTCCAACCTTTTGGAGTTAGTTAGACAAAAAAAAAAGATAAATGAAAAAAAAATATTTGGGGTGTTCGGGCTTCCTGAAGGTAATACCCGGGTATTAGGTTTTGGGGCTAGGGTAACTTTTAAGGTTTTTGGCGATAGGGTTAAAATCACTGTCCAAAACCTTTGTAGGAACTCTTTTCCAACCTTTTGGAGTTAGTTAGACAAAAAAAAAAGATAAATGAAAAAAAAATATTTGGGGTGTTCGGGCTTCCTGAAGGTAATACCCGGGTATTAGGTTATGGGGCTAGGGTAAGGTTTAAGGTTTTTGGCGTAAGGGTTAAAATCACTGTCCAAAACCTTTTTAGGAACATGTTTCAGACCTTTTGGAGATGGTTACACCAAAAAAAATGTAAAATGAAAAAAAAAAATATTTGGGGTGTTCGGGCTTCCTGAAGGTAATACCCGGGTATTAGGTTATGGGGCTAGGGTAAGGTTTAAGGTTTTTGGCGATAGGGTTAAAATCACTGTCCAAAACCTTTGTAGGAACTCTTTTCCAACCTTTGGGAATTAGTTAGACAAAAAAAAAAGATAAATGAAAAAAAAATATTTGGGGTGTTCGGGCTTCCTGAAGGTAATACCCGGGTATTAGGGTTTTGGGGCTAGGGTTAGGTTTAAGGTTTTTGGCGTTAGGGTTAAAGTAACTGTCCAATATTTATTAAGGAACATGTTTCAGACCTTTGGGAGTTAGTTAGACAAAAAAAAAAAGAAAAAGAAAAAAAAAATATTTGGGGTGTTCGGGTTTCCTGAAGGTATTAGGTTAGGGGCTAAGGTAAGGTTTAAGGTTTTTGGCGTGAGGGTTAAAATCACTGTCCAAAACCTTTGTAGGAACTCTTTAACATCCTTTTGGAGTTAGTTAGACCAAAAAAAAAACGAAAAATGAAAAAACAATATTTGGGGTTTTCGGGCTTCCTGAAGGTAATACCCGGGTATTAGGTTATGGGGCTAGGGTAAGGTTTAAGGTTTTTGGCGATAGGGTTAAAATCACTGTCCAAAACCTTTGTAGGAACTCTTTTCCAACCTTTTGGAGTTAGTTAGACCACAAAAAATGAAAAATAAAAAAAAATATATTTGGGGTGTTCAGGCTTCCTGAAGGTAATACCCGGGTATTAGGTTATGGGGCTAGGGTAACTTTTAAGGTTTTTGGCGATAGGGTTAAAATCACTGTCCAAAACCTTTGTAGGAACTCTTTTCCAACCTTTTGGAGTTAGTTAGACAAAAAAAAAAGATAAATTAAAAAAAAATATTTGGGGTGTTCGGGCTTCCTGAAGGTAATACCCGGGTATTAGGTTAGGGGCTAAGGTAAGGTTTAAGGTTTTTGGCGTGAGGGTTAAAATCACTGTCCAAAACCTTTGTAGGAACTCTTTTCCAACCTTTTGGAGTTAGTTAGACCAAAAAAAAAGTAAAAAAAAAAAATATATTTGGGGTGTTCGGGCTTCCTGAAGGTAATACCCGGGTATTAGGTTTTGGGGCTAGGGTAAGGTTTAAGGTTTTTGGCGTTAGGGTTAAAATCACTGTCCAAAACCTTTTTAAGGAACATGTTTCAGACCTTTGGGAGTTAGTTAGACAAAAAAAAAAAAAATAAAAAAAAATATTTGGGGTGTTCGGGTTTCCTGAAGGTAATACCCGGGTATTAGGTTATGGGGCTAGGGTAAGGTTTAAGGTTTTTGGCGTGAGGGTTAAAATCACTGTCCAAAACCTTTGTAGGAACTCTTTAACATCCTTTTGGAGTTAGTTAGACCAAAAAAAAAACGAAAAATGAAAAAACAATATTTGGGGGTTCGGGCTTCCTGAAGGTAATACCCGGGTATTAGGTTATGGGGCTAGGGTAAGGTTTAAGGTTATTGGCGCGAGGGTTAAAATCACTGTCCAAAACCTTTGTAGGAACTCTTTTCCAACCTTTTGGAGTTAGTTAGACCACAAAAAATGAAAAATAAAAAAAAAAATATTTGGGGTGTTCAGGCTTCCTGAAGGTAATACCCGGGTATTAGGTTTTGGGGCTAGGGTAACTTTTAAGGTTTTTGGCGATAGGGTTAAAATCACTGTCCAAAACCTTTGTAGGAACTCTTTTCCAACCTTTTGGAGTTAGTTAGACAACAAAAAATGAAAAAAAAAAAATATATATTTGGGGTGTTCAGGCTTCCTGAAGGTAATACCCGGGTATTAGGTTTTGGGGCTAGGGTAACTTTTAAGGTTTTTGGCGATAGGGTTAAAATCACTGTCCAAAACCTTTGTAGGAACTCTTTTCCAACCTTTTGGAGTTAGTTAGACCACAAAAAATGAAAAAAAAAAATATATTTGGGGTGTTCAGGCTTCCTGAAGGTAATACCCGGGTATTAGGTTTTGGGGCTAGGGTAACTTTTAAGGTTTTTGGCGATAGGGTTAAAATCACTGTCCAAAACCTTTGTAGGAACTCTTTTCCAACCTTTTGGAGTTAGTTAGACAAAAAAAAAAAAGATAAATTAAAAAAAAATATTTGGGGTGTTCGGGCTTCCTGAAGGTAATACCCGGGTATTAGGTTTTGGGGCTAGGGTAACTTTTAAGGTTTTTGGCGATAGGGTTAAAATCACTGTCCAAAACCTTTGTAGGAACTCTTTTCCAACCTTTTGGAGTTAGTTAGACAAAAAAAAAAGATAAATTAAAAAAAAATATTTGGGGTGTTCGGGCTTCCTGAAGGTAATACCCGGGTATTAGGTTAGGGGCTAAGGTAAGGTTTAAGGTTTTTGGCGTGAGGGTTAAAATCACTGTCCAAAACCTTTGTAGGAACTCTTTTCCAACCTTTTGGAGTTAGTTAGACAAAAAAAAAAAGATAAATGAAAAAAAAAAATATTTGGGGTGTTCGGGCTTCCTGAAGGTAATACCCGGGTATTAGGTTATGGGGCTAGGGTAAGGTTTAAGGTTTTTGGCGTAAGGGTTAAAGTAACTGTCCAATATTTTTTAAGGAACATGTTTCAGACCTTTTGGAGTTAGTTAGACAAAAAAAAAAGAAAAAGAAAAAAAAATATTTGGGGTGTTCGGGTTTCCTGAAGGTAATACCCGGGTATTAGGTTAGGGGCTAAGGTAAGGTTTAAGGTTTTTGGCGTGAGGGTTAAAATTACTGTCCAAAACCTTTGTAGGAACTCTTTTCCAACCTTTTGGAGTTAGTTAGACCACAAAAAATGAAAAATAAAAAAAAAAATATTTGGGGTGTTCGGGCTTCCTGAAGGTAATACCCGGGTATTAGGTTTTGGGGCTAGGGTAACTTTTAAGGTTTTTGGCGATAGGGTTAAAATCACTGTCCAAAACCTTTGTAGGAAGTCTTTTCCTACCTTTTGGAGTTAGTTAGACAAAAAAAATAAATAAATGAAAAAAAAATATTTGGGGTGTTCGGGCTTCCTGAAGGTAATACCCGGGTATTAGGTTATGGGGCTAGGGTAAGGTTTAAGGTTTTTGGCGTGAGGGTTAAAATCACTTTCCAAAACCTTTGTAGGAAGTCTTTTCCAACCTTTTGGAGTTAGTTAGACAAAAAAAAAAAGATAAATGAAAAAAAAATATTTGGGGTGTTCGGGCTTCCTGAAGGTAATACCCGGGTATTACGTTTTGGGGCTAGGGTAACTTTTAAGGTTTTTGGACGATAGGGTTAAAATCACTGTCCAAAACCTTTGTAGGAACTCTTTTCCAACCTTTTGGAGTTAGTTAGACAAAAAAAAAGATAAATGAAAAAAAAATATTTGGGGTGTTCGGGCTTCCTGAAGGTAATACCCGGGTATTAGGTTATGGGGCTAGGGTAAGGTTTAAGGTTTTTGGCGTAAGGGTTAAAATCACTGTCCAAAACCTTTTTAGGAACATGTTTCAGACCTTTTGGAGATGGTTACACCAAAAAAAATGTAAAATGAAAAAAAAAAATATTTGGGGTGTTCGGGCTTCCTGAAGGTAATACCCGGGTATTAGGTTATGGGGCTAGGGTAAGGTTTAAGGTTTTTGGCGATAGGGTTAAAATCACTGTCCAAAACCTTTGTAGGAACTCTTTTCCAACCTTTGGGAATTAGTTAGACAAAAAAAAAAGATAAATGAAAAAAAAATATTTGGGGTGTTCGGGCTTCCTGAAGGTAATACCCGGGTATTAGGGTTTTGGGGCTAGGGTTAGGTTTAAGGTTTTTGGCGTTAGGGTTAAAGTAACTGTCCAAAATTTTTTAAGGAACATGTTTCAGACCTTTGGGAGTTAGTTAGACAAAAAAAAAAGAAAAAGAAAAAAAATATTTGGGGTGTTCGGGTTTCCTGAAGGTAATACCCGGGTATTAGGTTAGGGGCTAAGGTAAGGTTTAAGGTTTTTGGCGTGAGGGTTAAAATCACTGTCCAAAACCTTTGTAGGAACTCTTTAACATCCTTTTGGAGTTAGTTAGACCAAAAAAAAAACGAAAAATGAAAAAACAATATTTGGGGTTTTCGGGCTTCCTGAAGGTAATACCCGGGTATTAGGTTATGGGGCTAGGGTAAGGTTTAAGGTTTTTGGCGTTAGGGTTAAAATCACTGTCCAAAACCTTTGTAGGAACTCTTTTCCAACCTTTTGGAGTTAGTTAGACCACAAAAAATGAAAAATAAAAAAAATATATTTGGGGTGTTCAGGCTTCCTGAAGGTAATACCCGGGTATTAGGTTATGGGGCTAGGGTAACTTTTAAGGTTTTTGGCGATAGGGTTAAAATCACTGTCCAAAACCTTTGTAGGAACTCTTTTCCAACCTTTTGGAGTTAGTTAGACAAAAAAAAAAAGATAAATTAAAAAAAAATATTTGGGGTGTTCGGGCTTCCTGAAGGTAATACCCGGGTATTAGGTTAGGGGCTAAGGTAAGGTTTAAGGTTTTTGGCGTGAGGGTTAAAATCACTGTCCAAAACCTTTGTAGGAACTCTTTTCCAACCTTTTGGAGTTAGTTAGACCACAAAAAATGAATAATAAAAAAAATATATATTTGGGGTGTTCGGGCTTCCTGAAGGTAATACCCGGGTATTAGGTTTTGGGGCTAGGGTTAGGTTTAAGGTTTTTGGCGTTAGGGTTAAAGTAACTGTCCAATATTTTTTAAGGAACATGTTTCAGACCTTTGGGAGTTAGTTAGACAAAAAAAAAAGAAAAAGAAAAAAAAAATATTTGGGGTGTTCGGGTTTCCTGAAGGTAATACCCGGGTATTAGGTTAGGGGCTAAGGTAAGGTTTAAGGTTTTTGGCGTGAGGGTTAAAATCACTGTCCAAAACCTTTGTAGGAACTCTTTAACATCCTTTTTGAGTTAGTTAGACCAAAAAAAAAGCGAAAAATGAAAAAACAATATTTGGGGTTTTCGGGCTTCCTGAAGGTAATACCCGGGTATTAGGTTATGGGGCTAGGGTAAGGTTTAAGGTTATTGGCGCGAGGGTTAAAATCACTGTCCAAAACCTTTGTAGGAACTCTTTTCCAACCTTTTGGAGTTAGTTAGACCACAAAAAATGAAAAATAAAAAAAAAAATATTTAGGGTGTTCAGGCTTCCTGAAGGTAATAACCGAGTATTAGGTTTTGGGGCTAGGGTAACTTTTAAGGTTTTTGGCGATAGGGTTAAAATCACTGTCCAAAACCTTTGTAGGAACTCTTTTCCAACCTTTTGGAGTTAGTTAGACAACAAAAAATGAAAAAAAAAAAAAAAAATATTTGGGGTGTTCAGGCTTCCTGAAGGTAATACCCGGGTATTAGGTTTTGGGGCTAGGGTAACTTTTAAGGTTTTTGGCGATAGGGTTAAAATCACTGTCCAAAACCTTTGTAGGAACTCTTTTCCAACCTTTTGGAGTTAGTTAGACCACAAAAAATGAAAAAAATATATATATATATTTGGGGTGTTCAGGCTTCCTGAAGGTAATATCCGGGTATTAGGTTTTGGGGCTAGGGTAACTTTTAAGGTTTTTGGCGATAGGGTTAAAATCACTGTCCAAAACCTTTGTAGGAACTCTTTTCCAACCTTTTGGAGTTAGTTAGACAAAAAAAAAAAAAGATAAATTAAAAAAAAATATTTGGGGTGTTCGGGCTTCCTGAAGGTAATACCCGGGTATTAGGTTATGGGGCTAGGGTTAGGTTTAAGGTTTTTGGCGTTAGGGTTAAAATCACTGTCCAAAACCTTTTTAGGAACATGTTTCAGACCTTTTGGAGATGGTTACACCAAAAAAAAATGTAAAATGAAAAAAAAAATATTTGGGGTGTTCGGGCTTCCTGAAGGTAATACCCGGGTATTAGGTTTGGGGCTAAGGTAAGGTTTAAGGTTTTTGGCGTGAGGGTTAAAATCACTGTCCAAAACCTTTGTAGGAACTCTTTTCCAACCTTTTGGAGTTAGTTAGACCACAAAAAATGAAAAATAAAAAAATATATATTTGGGGTGTTCGGGCTTCCTGAAGGTAATACCCTTCAGGTTTAAGTATTAGGTTATGGGGCTAGGATTAGGTTTAATGTTTTTGGCGTTAAGGTTAAAATCACTGTCCAATATTTTTAAGGAACATGTTTCAGACCTTTTGGAGCTAGTTTGACCAAAAAAAAAAAGAAAAAAAAAATATATATATTTGGGGTGTTCGGGCTTCCTGAAGGTAATACCCGGGTATTAGGTTATGGGGCTAGGGTAAGGTTTAAGGTTATTGGCGCGAGGGTTAAAATCACTGTCCAAAACCTTTGTAGGAACTCTTTTCCAACCTTTTGGAGTTAGTTAGACCACAAAAAATGAAAAATAAAAAAATATATATTTGGGGTGTTCAGGCTTCCTGAAGGTAATACCCGGGTATTAGGTTTTGGGGCTAGGGTAACTTTTAAGGTTTTTGGCGATAGGGTTAATATCACTGTCCAAAACCTTTGTAGGAACTCTTTTCCAACCTTTTGGAGTTAGTTAGACAAAAAAAAAAAGATAAATTAAAAAAAAATATTTGGGGTGTTCGGGCTTCCTGAAGGTAATACCCGGGTATTAGGTTATGGGGCTAGGGTAAGGTTTAAGGTTTTTGGCGTAAGGGTTAAAATCACTGTCCAAAACCTTTTTAGGAACATGTTTCAGACCTTTTGGAGATGGTTACACCAAAAAAAATGTAAAATGAAAAAAAAAATATTTGGGGTGTTCGGGCTTCCTGAAGGTAATACCCGGGTATTAGGTTATGGGGCTAGGGTAAGGTTTAAGGTTTTTGGCGATAGGGTTAAAATCACTGTCCAAAACCTTTGTAGGAACTCTTTTCCAACCTTTTGGAGTTAGTTAGACAAAAAAAAAAGATAAATGAAAAAAAAAATATTTGGGGTGTTCGGGCTTCCTGAAGGTAATACCCGGGTATTAGGTTATGGGGCTAGGGTAAGGTTTAAGGTTTTTGGCGTAAGGGTTAAAGTAACTGTCCAATATTTTTTAAGGAACATGTTTCAGACCTTTTGGAGCTAGTTTGACCAAAAAAAAAAAGAAAAAGAAAAAATACATATTTGGGGTGTTCGGGCTTCCTGAAGGTAATACCCGGGTATTAGGTTATGGGGCTAGGGTAAGATTTTAAGGTTTTTGGCGTAAGGGTTAAAGTAACTGTCCAATATTTTTTAAGGAACATGTTTCAGACCTTTTGGAGCTAGTTTGACCAAAAAAAAAAAAGAAAAAGAAAAAATACATATTTGGGGTGTTCGGGCTTCCTGAAGGTAATACCTGGGTATTAGGTTATGGGGCTAGGTTAAGGTTTAAGGTTTTTGGCGTGAGGGTTAAAATCACTGTCCAAAACCTTTGTAGGAACATGTTTCAGACCTTTTGGAGTTGGTTACACCAAAAAAAATGTAAAATGAAAAAAAAATTTTTTTGGGTGTTCGGGCTTCCTGAAGGTAATACTAGGTTTCTGGGCTAGGGTAATGTTTAAGGTTTTTGGAGTTAGGGTTAAAATCAATGTCCAAAACCTTTGTAGGAACTCTTTTCCAACCTTTGAGAGCAAGTTAGACCAAAACAAAAAGAAAAATAAAAAATATATATTTGGGGTTTTCGGGCTTCCTGAAGGTAATACTTTGTATTACCTTTGTAGGAAGTCTTTTCCAACCTTTTGGAGTTAGTCTTTTGTAGGAAGTCTTTTCCAACCTTTTGGAGTTAGTTAGACAAAAAAAAAAAGATAAATGAAAAAAAAATATTTGGGGTGTTCGGGCTTCCTGAAGGTAATACCCGGGTATTAGGTTATGGGGCTAGGGTAAGGTTTAAGGTTTTTGGCGTAAGGGTTAAAATCAGTGTCCAAAACCTTTTTAGGAACATGTTTCAGACCTTTTGGAGTTGGTTACACCAAAAAAAATGTAAAATGAAAAAAAATTTTTTTGGGGTGTTCGGGCTTCCTGAAGGTAATACCCTTCAGGTTTAAGCATTAGGTTATGGGGCTAGGATTAAGTTTAAGGTTTTTGGCGTAAGGGTTAAAATCACTGTCCAATATTTTTTAAGGAACATGTTTCAGACCTTTTGGAGCTAGTTTGACCAAAAAAAAAAAGAAAAAGAAAAAATATATATTTGGGGTGTTCGGGCTTCCTGAAGGTAATACCCGTGTATTAGGTTATGGGGCTAGGTTTAGGTTTAAGGTTTTTGGCGTGAGGGTTAAAATCACTGTCCAAAACCTTTGTAGGAAGTCTTTTCCAACCTTTTGGAGTTAGTTAGACAAAAAAAAAAGATAAATGAAAAAAAATTATTTGGGGTGTTTGGGCTTCCTGAAGGTAATACTAGGTTTCTGGGCTAGGGTAATGTTTAAGGTTTTTGGCGTGAGGGTTAAAATCAATGTCCAAAATCTTTGTAGGAACTCTTTTCCAACCTTTGAGAGAAAGTTAGACCAAAAAAAACTAGGGCCCCGTTGGGGCACTGGCGGGGCCGAGCCGCGTCGCGTCGCCCTCAGCGTGACCGCCTCCCCCTCGCGATTGCATCACACTCAAGGTCCAAAGATGGTGTGCGCACCTGTCTTTGGTCTTTTACCATTATAATGAATGGGAGGCGCAGTTTCTACCAAAACACTCGCTGCAGACAAACTCCATGTCCTATATGAAAAAAGTCTGGACCATGAGTGAGGGCACAAACACAGCTAGGATATATCCAAATGGCAAGTTGCTCCTCCTTCCGGTGTTGCCGGGAGAGCGATGCGTTTCAGCCATTGAGCAACACGCAAGAAAAATAAAATTTCTCCTGCCATGGGGGGTAAGGAAAATGACCAATTCTTTTTTATCAAACATAATAAAAACTGGTTATCTCTTGCAGGGCATCAAAGTCTTGAATATGTGAGAGATAAGTAATATGATTGACTTTGATGCCTTTTAACTTTTTCTGTAGCATCAGATTTAATAGACAACTCCCTTTGGCGCCCCTCCGTGGCCATAACTACTTTGTCTGCTGTTAATAGACCGCTCCCTTTGGCGCCACTCAGTGGCCAAAATTACTTTGTCTGCTGTAAAATCATATTGGATTAATATTTTTTCCAGATTTTTTTTTGTACATCTCTTATTTTACTTCTGCCCTGTTCAAAACTAGCAAATGTTTCATTGAAAATAATTTTTTGTAACCCTTTAAGAGCCCATTTAAGACATAAAGTCACTAATATAGCAAAAATGTGAGCCTTTTAACTTTTTCTGTAGCATCAGATTTAATAGACAACTCCCTTTGGCGCCCCTCAGTGGCCATATCTACTTTGTCTGCTGTTAATAGACAACTCCCTTTGGCGCCACTCAGTGGCCAAAACGACTTTTAAGAATGTGGATTTTTGGGTCATCTTTGGCGCCCCCTAGAACGTAAACCGTGGGATGCAGCGTCATGATTTTTACAACTTTGAATGGCCATGGGGTGTAGATTGGCCTGAGCAAATTTGGTGTTGGTGGGACGAAAGCCTTAGGAGGAGTTAGTCACATTCCAATGTGTGCGAATCCGCAAAAAATGCGAAATAGCCCTTTAACTGTACATTTTACAGACACGTGCCCATTGACTTTTTCGTAGATCTTATTGAGATACACGTGTTTGTCAAATTTTGTGTCAATTTGACAAAGCGTATAGGCGTGACACTCAACAATGTGTATTTTCACCTTAGGGGACAAGAAAAAATTGAATTTTTTCTCCTGCCATGGGGGGGCGCTCTTTTGGGGAGTAAAAATTCCTTCACAAATGTGTTGATGGCTGGACATTGCATCATCCTAGAAAATTCAAAGATCACAAAACAGCACAATCTCCAGTTCAAACACGACACAAACTCAGGTTCAACAAACACACAAACTCAAGTTTAACCAATACCCAATTCTCACGTTTAACAATTTCCACAACCTCAAGTTCAAACACGACACAAACTCAAGTTCAAACACGACACAAACTCAAGTTCAAACACGACACAAACTCAAGTTCAAACAACACCCAAATATCAAGTTTAACATCTGCCAAAACCTCAAGTTCAAAAACACCACAAACTCAAGTTCTAAATGACAAAAACTCAAGTTCAACAAACACACGAACTCAAGTTCAACCAATGCCCACTTCGCAAGTTTAACAATTTCCACAACCTCAAGTTAAAAAAAAACAAAAACTCAAGTTCAGACACACCACAAACTCAAGTTAGAAAAACACACAGACTCAAGTTCAACCAACACCTAAGTCACAAGTTTAACAATTGCCACAAACTTAAGTTCAAAAAACACAAAAGCTCAAGATCAAAAACACCACAAACTCAAGTTCTAAATGACAAAAACTCAAGTTCAACAAACACACGAACTCAAGTTCAACCAATGCCCACTTCGCAAGTTTAACAATTTCCACAACCTCAAGTTAAAAAAAAAACAAAAACTCAAGTTCAGACACACCACAAACTCAAGTTAGAAAAACACACAGACTCAAGTTCAACCAACACCTAAGTCACAAGTTTAACAATTGCCACAAACTTCAGTTCAAAAAACACAAAAGCTCAAGATCAAAAACACCACAAACTCAAGTTCAAACACGATTCACAAACTCAAGTTCAACCAAATCCCAAATCTCAAGTTTAACAATTTCCACAACCTCAAGTTCAAAACCAACAGAAACTCAAGTTCAAACACGCCACAAACTCAAGTACAACAAACGCCACAAACTCAAGTTCAACAATTGCCACCAAGTAAGGTTCAGAGAAAAATACAGACTCAAGGTTAACAATTGCCACAAACTCAAGTTCATCAAACACCACAAGCTTAAGTTCAAAAAATGACAAAATTTCAAATTCAACAAATGACCTATATTCACATTAAACAATTGCCAAAAACTCAAGTTCAACAAACTCAAGTTCAAAAATTGCAACAAACTCAGGTTCAAAAAATACACAAATTCAAGTTCAAAAACACCACAAACTCAAGTTCAAAAATGCCGAAACTTAATTTCAACCAACACCCAAATCTCAAGTTTAACAATTGCCACAACCTCATGTTCAAAAACAACAGAAACTCAAATTTAAAAACACCAAAAACTCAAGTTAAAAAAAACCCACACAAATTCAAGATCACAAAACAGCACAATCTCAAGTTCAAACAAGACACAAACTCAGGTTCAACAAACACACAAACTCAAGTTTAACCAATACCCAATTCTCACGTTTAACAATTTCCACAACCTCAAGTTCAAATACAACACAAACTCAGGTTCAAACTCGACACAAACTCAAGTGCAAAAACACCACAAACTCAAGTTCAACAATTGCCACCAACTAAAGTTCAGAGAAAATACAGACTCAAGTTCAACAATTGCCAAAAAACTCAAGTTCAACAAACACCACAATCTTAAGTTCAACAAATTCCAAAATTTCAAGTTCAACAAATGACCTAAACTCACACTTAACAATTGCCAAAAACTAAAGTTCAACAAACTCAAGTTAAAAAAGTGCCACAAAATGAAGTTCAAAAACACCACAAACTCAAGTTCAAAAAACACACAAACTCAAGTTCAAAAACACCACAAACTCAATTTCAAACACGATACAAACTCAAGTTCAACAAACACCACAAACTCAAGTTCAACAAATGTCACAGTTTCAAGTTCAACCAATACCCGATTCTCAGGTTTAACAATTTCCACAACCTCAAGTTCAAAAAACACCACAAACAAGTTCAAACACGCCACAAACTCAAGTTCAACAAACGCCACAAACTCAACTTCAAAAACACCACACAAACTGAAGTTCTAAAACGACACAAACTCAAGTTCAACAAACACAACAAGTCAAGTTCAAGCAACACCCGATTCTCAAGTTTAACAATTTCCACAACCTCAAATTCAAAAAACACACAAACTCAAGTTCAAAAACACCAGAACCTCAAGTTCAAAAAACATAATAAACTCAAGTTCAAATATTCCACAAACTCAAGTTCAATGAACACCACAAACTCAAGTTAAACCAACACCCGATTCTCAAGTTTAACAATTGCCACAACCTCAAGTTAAAAAAACCACAAACTCAAGTTCAAACACTTCACAAACTCAAGTTCAAACACTTCACAAACTCAAGTTCAACAAACGCCACAAGCTCAAGTTCAACAAACGCCACAAGCTCAAGTTCAACAAACGCCACAAACTCAAGTTCAACAATTGCCACCAACTAAAGTTCACTAAAAACCAAAGACTCAAGTTCAACAATTGCCAAAAAATCAAGCGAAACAAACTCAAGTTCATAAGTTGTCACAAACTTCAAACACGACACAAACTCAAGTTCAAAAACACCACAAACTCAAGTTCAAAAAGACACAAACTCAAGTTCAACAAACAAAACTAACTATTTAGAGTAATTTTGAGGTGTTTGAGAGGTTTTTTGTAGACTTACCCTAGTGGTCCTATGTTGTTGTTGATGTGAGGCGTTTCTTTTCCAGTAGTCTAAAATCTGTTGGAGGGGGGAAAAGGTTCCAGCTGTCCAGCCGCGGCGGCAGCGGTGTGTCTGAAGTCCGGGGTCCTCGGCGGGGGAAAGAAGATAGGCGCTCCGCGGCAAGGTTTGCTGGGACTCGGTGCCGTCGGCGGGTCGAAGCTCGGTGGTGGGCGGCTTGGAGTGATGGAGGTGTCTTCTTTCAGGTGGCGGCGCGGCGTCTTTCTCGAGGCGGTGGTCGGTCTTCTAGGTCCAGTGGTCAGTGCTTTGTCTCAATAACAGAAACAGGAATTGCTCTTTAGTGCACAGCACTTAAATGTGCTTTTGACAGGAGAAGACATCCCCAGAGTTGGGCTCGAGTCATGGTTTGTGCTGTTCCTCTCAGACATGGTTGTGTTCTCTTCTCGATGTTTGTATTCCAGAATGGATGTCTCTTGGTTGTATTTTAAACTTTCAAGTTGTTTTAAGTTAATTTTAATGTAGTTTATTTGTTTTAAATTTAGTTTTGCTACATTAAATTTGTATGCAATCGTAAGGGATTGTGGGTATTTTAGTTCTGAGGGATGAGAGCCTAAGGAATCAATCTTCCTGTTACAGCAAAGGATTGTGGGTAAAACCGTGAGTGAGTGAGGTACTTCCTTTCTGCCATGAGAGCCTTGGGAATCAATCTCCCTGTTGCAGCAAAGGATTGTGGGTAAAACCGTGAGTGAGGGAGGTACATATTTCCTGGCATGAGAACCTCAGGAGTCAGTCCTTCCTAAGAAAAAAGAGGGGAGGGGGGAAGACAAACAAAAGCACAGGAACCCTAAAATGAAATAAAATAAAATAAAATAAAATAATATAAAACAATGAAAAAATAAAAAATAAAAAAGAAGAACAAAAGTGGATTGCAAAAGGGAAAGGAGAAGAAAAAAGGAAAAAAAGAAGTGTCAAGAGCAAATAGCAAAAAACAGAAGTGAGCTTAAAAACAGAGAACAGTTCCCTAAAAGACAGACAGAAATGTAAATTTGATCAATGTCCTAAGGGAAAATCTGCACGTGTATGTGTTGTCTTTTTTACTAGCTTAGTCTGGTGTCACTGATGGTCAGTTATCAATAAGTATTTATTATTTAAATTTTTGATGAAGTTGTTTGTAGTGGGGTTAGCTGGCTAATTTTAGTGTGTTAAAAAAGATGTTAGAGGGGGAGGATTTAGGTGGCATGGCGGTTCCCCTTCAGGTCTCTCTTAATCCTCAATATAGGTGACCCAACAGGGGTTACCCCCCGGCCGGGGTAGGCTGAGGCTGAAGATCACCTATTTGTCCTCTGTGAAGGTGAAAATAAAGGGGCAGGGGAGGGAATAAGAAAGAGGGGGGGTGTTAGAGAGAGGGGGAGAGATGAGGGAGAGAGATGAGGGAGAGAGAGAGAGAGGGGGGGGGGGTGAGAGAGAGAGAGAGAGAAGGGAAGAGGGAGAGGGGGGTTTAAGGGAGAGGTGGAGATGGTGGAAAATAAAGATTGGTGAGGGGGATTTGGTGGCGGATGAAACATCCCATAGCTCCCCAGCTCTCACCATCCATGTGAGGAGAGTGAGCAAGGGACATAGTCACCCGACCCGACTAGGTCTAGGCTCTGCTCTCCTCACGGTCCTCACAAGATACAAAGAGATATGTAAACATGGAAGTGAGAGTTCTCTAGGCAGAGTTTTGGGTTTGGTTTGAGCTGAGTTGGTCAGTTGATTATTGATTACTATTTTAAGTTCTAAAAGTGGATAGAGTCAAAAAGTCACAGAGGATTGTGGTGGGAGCAGGTGGTCCATCTGGCACCATTCTGCTCATGCAGGGATTCGAGTGATAGAAAGAGAATAGATCTTGCCACCGTGACTCGCCATTGAGACTCTCCTCACCTGCTGGTTTTCATCCTCTGATAGGAGAGAGAGGTACAGATCAGGAGAGAGGGAGAAAAGGAGGGAGGCAGGGTGGGGTCAGGAGTTAATTTGTCTTGAAAAGTATTTATCTTTTCGTCATTGCTGTTAGGGTTTAGATGTTTTTTGTTTAGTTTTCTGAGGAATGTAGTGTTAGTATAGGTTCCAAGGTGGAGGATTCTTTGGAATTCACTCTCACCCTTGAAACTGGAAGATCTTAGATTCTATAAAGGGGGGGGGGGGTGAGAGGTTGTGTGCACAGAAGGAGCATGGGCTCAGACTATTCTTGGAATGATATTGTGACAAGTCTGTCCGAAGGTAAGTGGCTGGTTAGGTGTGGGAAAGAGATAGAGTGATAGCCCCCGCTTTCGTCAGTTGAATTGGCGGTTTGAGGTAGGCTGATCAAGGGCTTGCACTGGCCGGCGCATGTCGACCTGTCACATGTTCCAGTCGAGTCTCCGAGCTCAATCTGTGTGTAAAAATTATGTGTTGGTAGAAAGTTTAATGACTCAGCTCAGTTGGTATGCTATGCTGTCTATCTTTTAGACTATGTGTTTGTAGAGCAATATTATGTATATATTATGTTACAGGGCTAGGAAAAGGTTAAAGGTTTTTGACGTTAGGGTTAAAATCACTGTCCAAAACCTTTGTAGGAACTCTTTTCCAACCTTTTGGAGGGAGCTAGACTAGAAAAAAAAGAAAAAAGAAAAAAGAAAAAAAAAAATTTGGGGTGTTCGGGCTTCCTGAAGGTAATAGGGGTTAGGGGCTAAGGTAAGGTTTAAGGTGTTTGGCGTGAGGGTTAAAATCACTGTCCAAAACCTTTGTAGGAACTCTTTACCATCCTTTTGGAGTTAGTTAGACCAAAAAAAAAACGAAAAATGAAAAAACAATATTTGGGGTTTTCGGGCTTCCTGAAGGTAATACCCGGGTATTAGGTTATGGGGCTAGGGTAAGGTTTAAGGTTTTTGGCGCGAGGGTTAAAATCACTGTCCAAAACCTTTGTAGGAACTCTTTTCCAACCTTTTGGAGTTAGTTAGACCACAAAAAATGAAAAATAAAAAAAAAATATTTGGGGTGTTCGGGCTTCCTCAAGGTAATACCCGGTATTAGGTTTTGGGGCTAGGGTAAGGTTTAAGGTTTTTGGCGTTAGAGTTAAAATCAGTGTCCAAAACCTTTTTAGGAACATGTTTCAGACCTTTTGGAGATGGTTACACCAAAAAAAATGTAAAATGAAAAAAAAAATATTTGGGGTGTTTGGGCTTCCTGAAGGTAATACTTTGTATTACCTTTGTAGGAAGTCTTTTCCAACCTTTTGGAGTTAGTCTTTTGTAGGAAGTCTTTTCCAACCTTTTGGAGTTAGTTGGACAAAAAAAAAAGATAAATGAAAAAAAAATATTTGGGGTGTTATGGCTTCCAGAAGGTAATACCCCAGTATTAGGTTATGGGGCTAGGGTAAGGTTTAAGGTTTTTGGCGTTAGAGTTAAAATCACTGTCCAAAACCTTTTTAGGAACATGTTTAACACCTTTTGGAGTTGGTTACACCAAAAAAAAATGTAAAATGAAAAAAAAAATATTTGGGGTGTTCGGGCTTCCTGAAGGTAATACCCGGGTATTAGGTTTTGGGGCTAGGGTAAGGTTTAAGGTTTTTGGTGTTAGGGTTAAAATCACTGTCCAAAACCTTTTAAGGAACATGTTTCAGACCTTTTGGAGTTGGTTACACCAAAAAAAAATGTAAAATGAAAAAAAATATATTTGGGGTGTTCGGGCTTCCTGAAGGTAATACCCTTCAGGTTTAAGTATTAGGTTATGGGGCTAGGATTAGGTTTAAGGTTTTTGGTGTAAGGGTTAAAATCACTGTCCAATATTTTTTAAGGAACATGTTTCAGACCTTTTGGAGCTAGTTTGACCAAAAAAAAAAAGAAAAAGAAAAAATATATATTTGGGGTGTTCGGGCTTCCTGAAGGTAATACCCGGGTATTAGGTTATGGGGCTAGGGTAAGGTTTAAGGTTTTTGGCGTTAGGGTTAAAATCACTGTCCAATATTTCTTAAGGAACATGTTTCAGACCTTTTGGAGTTAGTTAGACCAAAAAAAAAGAAAAAAGAAAAAAAAATATTGGGGGTCTTCGGGCTTCCTGAAGGTATTAAGTTTTGGGGCTAGGGTAAGGTTTAAGGTTTTTGGCGTTAGGGTTAAAATCACTGTCCAATATTTTTAAGGAACAAGATTCAGACCATTTGGACTTGGTTACACCAAAAAAAATTTTAAATGAAAAAAAAAATATTTGGGGTGTTCGGGCTTCCTGAAGGTAATACCCTTTAGGTTTAAGTATTAGGTTATGGGGCTAGGATTAGGTTTAAGGTTTTTGGTGTTAGGGTTAAAATCACTGTCCAAAACCTTTTAAGGAACAAGATTCAGACCTTTTGGAGTTGGTTACACCAAAGAAAAATGTAAAATGAAAAAAAATATATTTGGGGTGTTCGGGCTTCCTGAAGGTAATACCCTTCAGGTTTAAGTATTAGGTTATGGGGCTAGGATTAGGTTTAAGGTTTTTGGCGTAAGGGTTAAAATCACTGTCCAATATTTTTTAAGGAACATGTTTCAGACCTTTTGGAGCTAGTTTGACCAAAAAAAAAAAGAAAAAGAAAAAATATATATTTGGGGTGTTCGGGCTTCCTGAAGGTAATACCCGGGTATTAGGTTATGGGGCTAGGATTAGGTTTAAGGTTTTTGGCGTGAGGGTTAAAATCACTGTCCAAAACCTTTGTAGGAAGTCTTTTCCAACCTTTTGGAGTTAGTTAGACAAAAAAAAAAGATAAATGAAAAAAAATATTTGGGGTGTTCGGGCTTCCTGAAGGTAATACCCGGGTATTAGGTTATGGGGCTAGGGTAAGGTTTAAGGTTTTTGGCGTAAGGGTTAAAATCAGTGTCCAAAACCTTTTTAGGAACATGTTTCAGACCTTTTGGAGTTGGTTACACCAAAAAAAATGTAAAATGAAAAAAAATTTTTTTTGGGTGTTCGGG